GGGGGGGGCCTGATGCCTCCCGCAAATGGGGCATATCAGCATGGCGTTTCTTCGATGGACAAAAGTAACACGGCGAGCACAGGGGCGGACGGCCGTCACGTTTGAATTTTGGGCATAAAAATACCAATTTTGTTGTTGGACTCGTACCCTGTTCCGTGTTCTGATGCGAGTCGACCTGGGGGCCTTTCTGACAGCAGGAATCGAAGGAGCGAGGAATACATGGTTTATTTCTCAGCCAGCTCCCTGGCGTGAGGTGCAGAAGCCACAATGTGCTGGATAATTAGAATTGGACTCCAGATACCATCTGTTCAGTGACACATCTCCTTTGACATGTCCCGTGTCCCCCCCCTCTGGTCCCCTCTAGAAGCTGTCGTTTAATATGTCCTCATTCATCTTCACCATTGTCGGACTGTACTCTGACGACTCCATATCCGCACCGGCATCCATCAATATATCGCCCACGATTCTCCGACTTGCCTCGCGAGCTGTAATCACGTCAGCGCTCTCGTCACACCTGAACCGAGTCCGTCGCCTCGAGGGAAAAAAGAAAAGAGAACATTCACGCCAAGTAGCACGTTAGACACGTAGACTCACCAGGCGTCTGTAGCAATTTGGATGGCGGCAGCGCAAACTGAACCGTCTTGGGTGGGCTCATGCCCGCGTACAGGTCGTCATCGTCCTCCTCGTCGCTGTTCCAGTCAATTTCATACCGTTTGCTGCCGTGCCTCGGCTCGCCTGCCGCAGCACCGGCCCATTTCTCGCCCTGCCCCGAGGCGAACTTGCCGTGGGCCTTGTTTGCCGCCGCTGGCGTCTGGACACTGACGCCCGGTGTCCTCGGGGCTTGAGCTGCCGCCCGTTGCCGTGCCATCAGCTTGCGTGGCGACATGAAGACCTCGCTGCGCAGCGTTGGCGCCGCAATCTCGGGCGACGACATGGCCGACGACTCGTGCTGCCAGGCCGCCCTTTCCTTTCCCTTCTTCTTCGCCGAGTCCCTCCTCAGGGGGGATAACCTGATGCCCGGCCCCGGCCGGTGCGGTGTCGCCTGCACTCTGTAATTCTTGTCCGACACGCGGTGTAGCAGCGGATCCTTGGTCTGCCTCGCCAACGACGTCTGCTGTCCAGCCGCGACGTCCCCGCGCGGACCGCCCGGCGTCATCGACATGTCCGGAAGTCGAGCCGTCCGCTGGGCGAAGAGCACCGTCGAGTCCTGCTCGTCCTGCTCGTCCTGCTCGTCCTGCTCGTCCTGCTCGTCCTGCTCGTCCTGCAGCGCCGTGGCGCCGTCCTTGTCGCCCTGCATTTCCCGCCTCAGCCTCTCAAACGGCGAAGAGTGGCCCGAAAACCTCTCCGCCTTCGTCATCCCGGTCGCCGGTGGACGCGGGGTGCTGCCAGAGAGTTCGGCGTCGTCCAGCAGCGACTCGTCGTCCCCGTGTGTCGCCGTCACGCCCTCGTCCTGCGTTTGTGTGCAGTCGGGCGACGACGCCGCGTCCCTCATCGCGGTGCTCTCTTCCACGACTGTCGATTCGTCGTCGTTGGCGAGCTCCTCGTAGCCGGAAAGCGAGACATTGGCGGACGCTTCGAAGAACTGCTTCCAAAACTGCGCCAGAGGTTAGCACGCCCGCCCCGTCGTGCCGGATGCATGCACTGCTCCCCATCCCATCGCGCGTGCCCACCTTGGATGCTTCCCATACGGCGCGCGAGTGTTCGCCGTACCGCTCGACTGCTGGTATTATGCTCGTCGTGACGATTCGGTGGGCTTTGCTGAAGTTGTGGTCGATTTCTACACGCGTTGGCTCGTTGCACTCGTCGACGCACAAGAGCAAGCGGCCTTTGCCTCGTCGGTGGCGAAGGTGACGTACCTTGCAGAGTAAGAGTGATGGATTGCTCAAGCTTCTCCAGCTCCTCCGTCAATGACAGATGACGCGCAGCTACGCTCGACCGCGCCATCTTGAAGCTGGGCGAGGTAAAGTTAGATGCAGGCGCGTCTCCACGCGTAGGAGGTGTCGACATGCGGTCCGATGTTTCAAGTTGATCCGTGGTTCTGAATCCCGATCTCATCCCTCCCACGTTGGCGGGGCGGGGCGGCTGTTTGCTGAGCTGAGCGCAGCAGGCAGACGGCACACACGTGCGTGCACACAGTCAGAGACATTCATGCCATCAATGCCATCAATGCCATGAGGAACCGAGTTTTCTTCCTCTTCGGAATGTCATTCATCATCATCATCATCATCATCATCGTCATCCTCATCATCGTCGTCGTCATCTGCGCTAACCTTCCCAGCGGGCAATTGCCATCTCAGCGTCTACAGTAGTAATCACACATGTCCAGCTTCACCAAAAGCTGTGCAATCAAGCTATCATCGCCCAAGCCAGAGGCTTCAAACGACATGCCCTCCGCCGTCTTCTTGCCACTCACCCTCGCCTTTTCCGATAGGCCCCGGCAAACAGTAACAAACAACTGAAGCTTCTTTCGAAGCTCAGCATGCATATCCGCCGAATTGACTGTTTCTTCGGCTTTGGCGTCCCCCGCGAGCGCTTGTAATCTTGTCTGCTTCGCGTATTGCAAGATGATGCCCAAGACCTCCTCCAAGAGCTTAAGCACGGGCAGCTGACGCTTCCTCAAGAACAGGGCGTACATGATCCGCTCCAACACTCGTGAATGCATGTCCCTCAGTTGGTTGGGACTACTACATGCGAACTTGTCTGGGGCCAGCCCAGGTTGGTTCAGGTGAACGCGAATGCTCTCTAGTTTGCTCTCGAACGTTTGCCACGCTATCGCCACGCCACTGTCCAGAAAGTACGACGCGATGCTGCAAACAAAATGCTGCGACTCCCTGACGAATCGATAGGACGTATTGTCCTCGTCCCAGCTGTTTAGCCTTGAGTTGGTGTCCCGATACAGGTGATTTACAATGTAGACCATTCTCAGGATCCTGAGAAGAAGCTTAAAGATGCGATCGTAGTGCATGAGATGAACTGGCGTGATGATTGACGTCAGTTCGGGAGGCGTGGTGTACGAGAGCCGCAGGAAGTCGAGAGCTTCTAGCGAGTCGGGGTCCACGCACTTGTTGATTTCTTCCTCGGACAGGTCTCGGACTGCAAAGCTCAGCTCTCCCGGTAACCGGGGAGCGCCTGAACCACTGTTGGTCGACCGAGGGTTCTTCGTAGCCCCCTGTGAATCATAAGCCTCACCGAGCACTCCCATCAGGGCAAGGCGAAGTTCAGAGCTTCCTGGCGGCCATGTATCTCGTCCTCCCAGTCGGAGGCCCATCACGCCTCCTTGCATCGCGACACCGGCCTGTCTTTCAGTTGTCTCGAGATCAGGATCGAACAAAGCCTGCGTCAGCCGACTACAAAACATGCCATTTCCGAGTAGATGGAAGTCTCGCTGAAGTTTCAGGTGAGCTTGGATACCATTGACCTCAAATAGCAAGCGCAGACTTTCTCGATTTACAATTCGAGCTTGGGCGGCCGCAATTCCACCAAATGACAGAATCGGCAACAGTGACCAGTGCGGTGTGTCATGAGAAATTGTGTTGTCGCTTTGAATTTCTCTAGAAAACGTTGCACGCACAATGCAACTTAGCGAGTCATTGCCTGCACTCGCCATCAACGGCTGGCCAAGTTGATCCATTGACTCAACTAGTCGTTTCTCTATAGTTGCTTCATCGACGTCAAAAATATTCAACTTGAATTGTGGGTGGTGCTCATGTATTCCGTGGCAGGGTTGAACAGCGGTACGTGCTGTGCTTGAACGGCTGCCCTGAATAGCGTCAAGAAGTCGATCTTGATATTGGGCGATGTGATCCTCAAGGTTCAAGAGCGAACCCCAATCGAATAGCCATCCCGCTACGGGCGGTCGGTTCGACACGATAACGTCAGATCGGGCCAAAACGTGGTCTGGGTGGAATGTCCGAATAAATCGCAGGTTTCTGCCAGTTTCGAATATGGACTCGGCGATATCCCTAGGTAGAAAACGTGGGACTTTGCCGATATCCAATCGAAAATCAATGTCCTCAACTTCCCGTCCAAAGTCGTCGATAAAGACCTGGACATCGACCGTGACAAACCCCTTGGACTCCCCTACGTTGGACCGGACAAACGGCACGCCCATTTCCCGTCGTGTGCCAAGCCATTCCTCGATTGACTCGACCCAAGGGGTTGATGATCGTCGCAAAATCTCGCAAAATATATCCCTGATATGCCTCTCGCTGAACTCAAACCTTGATGCCTCTTGAAAAACGACCGACAAGATCTCTTCGTCTGGGAGATGCCGAGGTATTCGCGCTGCGAGATCGTCGAGAGGACGGAGAATGCAAAATTCTTCCTGAATGGTAATCTGAAGTTGCAGCAGCGATTCGGGAAATCGACGATCCACAGTGACTCGATGTTCTACGGCTTGTAGAGTTTGGCTTATGGCGCTGGCTAGAGCTACAGCACACCGGCTCGAGTTTGAAGCGTACGATGATCGACAAAATTCACCGAGTCGTAAGAATGTGGAACCGCACACAGCGGCCTGTTTTTGCATGTCTTCAAGCAATTGTCGGCTGTAGCCAGACACTCGCAATTGTGGAAGAGTGCACTTGAACGTCCCATCTTCAATCGTTCTTGAGAAAAAGACAGATTCCCGGCCAAGACACAAGGCCAGTACTGATGCAAAATATGGCCTAGTCTCAACAACCGCGGTGCTCGTATTCCGCAAGTCTAATGAATCAGTTGGCCAGCTCAACAAGGCATCGTATGCACCTCGTCCAGCCTCAGAAAGAAGCATGGGCTCATTTGCCTGTAGCCTTTTTGTCTTGAATGTCTCCCAAGTTCTGAAGGTAGCCGGCTTTGACTGCGATTCAGAAGGGCCTGTCCATATGTCGCTCTCGCCATCAAACTCCAGATGCTCTTGTAAGGTAGACGCTGTTACGTCGGAATCTTGAAGCTCGTCTGGGTCGTCGACTTGAAAATCGACCACTGCCGGTAGCTTGAAGAAGCCATCCGTATCGGCAGTGATGGGCTTCAGGGGTAGCAAGGTAGGCTTGATGTCGTATCGTGCTGCCCAAGACTGATTCAGTATTGGCGCGGGTCGTACGGAGGAGAGAGGGAGTACGCGCATACCGTCAAGCCCGTGTCCGAAGATTGGGTCGGGTGCTTGGCTGGTCAATTGATCTAGCCACCACGACGTCTTCCAAAGGTCTGGAATGGCAAAGACATCCGCTTCGCTTGGTTCATCAGCCATGTCTTCACTGCTATGACGAACAGTTTGTCTATGCCATCGCGTGTCTTGGTGGCAGGAAGACGCGCGCGCCTGCGTCGCCTGCATGAGCCGCCGTGGCCCCGCGCTAATGTAATGGTCTGTCTGGTGGACCAATCGCCTCCAATAACTCTCCAGTCCGCCGTCACCAGCAACGGCCACTGGCAGCAACATTGCCAGCCCAGTCAACCACATCCTCCGCCTCCGGGCCTACATGAATAAATAGCCGAGAACGTCTGCACTTGAGCCCCGAAATGCCTCCCAGGAAGCGCGCGAGGGGCGAAGTCGCCGCAACGCCAGGCGCAACTCGGGACGATGGTGCCATGGCCATTGACACCCCAGCGGCCAGCGAAGCCGGGGATCCCTCAAAACGTGATGCCCCGAACTACAACAACATGTGGACGGATGACCAAATCGCTTCCCTTTTCAAGGGCGTCATTCGCTGGAAGCCGGCGGGTTCGTGACTTCTGGCAGAAGACAAATCGTCAATATTTGCCAGGCTAACCACGTGTCACCCAGGCATGCACAAACATTTCAGGATGATTGCGATATCTGAACACTTGCGAAATCACGGCTTCGACCCCGATGTTTATCAGCACACCAGAATTCCCAACATTTGGGACAAGTTACGCACATACTATAATCTAGACCTCATCGACGAGCGAGAGTATTTTGACGACGACGAGCCTGAAGATAAATATGTCGACTTCAGACTACCTCGCTCCCGCTTCCTTGACTCCATGATGCAGAGAGCGGTGGCCGACTCTAGTGAAGCGCCTACCTCCCCGCCAGAACTGGACCTCTCGCCCGGCCTGTCGCATTCTAGAAAACGAAAGAGAGCAGGAACCGCATCAAAGGTCAGAGCAGCCGACGCTGAGGATACCGAGGATGCCATGGATGCGCCATCTCCAGCTACTAAGCCAACCAGAGGCGCAAGAGGACGCACGAGGGCGACGAGCCAACAGTCCAAGCCGGAGAAGAAGGACAAGAGTGAAAAAGCCGAGACGACTGAGGAGGAAGACGCCGAAAACGAACAGGAGGAGAGCGGATTTGGGGAGGACGAGGAAGAAGATGAAGAAGCTGAGAGCGAGGGCGAAGATGAAGATGTGGAAGAGGAGGAGGCGGACGAGAGCGCTGAGGAAGGTGGTACGCCGGCGTCGAGGTCAACCAGGGCGGCCACGAGGAAGAGCGTTGCTCCTAAACCTAAGCCTACAACACGGAGGACAAGATCAAGAAAATGAAGATCAAAGACATCAATGTTTAATACAAAAAAAAAAAAGAAGAAAAAGGCAAACATCAACACCATGCATAGATATCAAGTTGTATAACGAATCAAAACTCACAAGGCGAAAAACACTTCGCAGATACTTCTCTTCTACTAGTCATGTGCATCTTATTCCTCATGCCTCCTACCATCCAGCGTTTCCCACTCCCCATAATATTCCAGCTTGGAAGCCCAATCTCCCCCGAGGCGATAGACATTCTCCACATCCAGATTCGATCTATGTACACGACCGGGATCCTGCACTTTAGGCAGCTCCATGGGCGGCTTCTCCTGCAAGATATTCCACATCTCAGTTTCTGCTTGATAGCTAGCATACTCGTCGTGAAGGTCCGCCTGCGCTTCCTGTTGCCTTTCCGTTGTGATGCGCAATACAAGCGCTTGTTTTGCGGTTTGGATATCTTTGAGCTCTGGGGCCGAGTAGATCAGGATTTCATTAGCTTCCTGCGCAATCTCGTATTTTCCATCATCGATACCAGCTTCTGGTCGGATACCTGTTTCCGAATCAATGACTGGGTCGCAATCGTCATCTTCATCGTCCTCCTCCACACCCTCATCAAGCCCGGCCCCATGTACAAATATGGCATTGCTTGGAGCTGGAGTTTCATTGCTATCATCATCAATCCCGGAGAGTATAGCTTCAACCTCTTCATACGTCATCGGCTCCTCTTGAGGGTCGTCGTCATCCTTATCTGGGGGCTCGTCATATACGTCCAGTCGTAATCTTCTCGCGCTTTCAATCCACCTCGATTTTGAGTCATGTGGCATGGCGAGCGAAGCAATTGCAGCTTCAACATCCTTGGTCCGGACAATATCCCGAGTGGTAGGAATAAGCTCCTTCTTCGTCTTGATTCTCGACATGCTAATGAACAGAGTTGTCTGGACGAGCCGCCTGGTGACAGAAACAGCAAGTGAATGAAAGTCGTCGAATGCCGTGGCCCACATCGAGGGGCGTTTGACGTCGATGTAGTTCCAGTTGTTGCCAGGAATCGATGAGTTCATAAAGAAGCGCTCCGACAACTTTAACCAGTTAGATAAATGAAACAGCTGGGAGAATTTCAACGTCGCCTCAGATGTAGGATCCCCGTCCCCGCCGCGGTGATTTAATCTCCTGGCTAGAGAAGAAGTAACATGCCAGTTCTGTCCCCATTTGAGCGCCTCTCGTTGTTTCTCTCTCTGCTCTTGGCAGACTGAAATTGAATCGGCTGCCTCTTCTTGAGCATGGCAGCACTGTTGACTGATCTCAACGGCGGCTGGATATTCGGCTGGTTCCAGGTAGGATCGACGGTTCCAGCACTGCCTGCCATCTTTGGCTGCTTGAAATAAGTCGACGTACTGCTTGACCTCTACTACACTTTTGCTCCCTATTCTACTTGCGATTCCAGGCAAATCGTATTTTCCCAGTCGTGATACGGCCTCGAAAAACTGCTGTTTTTCAACGGTAGACCAGGAGGTGAGTCCAATTTGAGAACCGGGCAAGTCAACATTCTCCTCCAAACAGACCCGATGTGCGGCGTCGTCAATCTCGCGATTGAGAAGATCTAGGTACCCGGCATTCACGACACCTTTTCGTCTCTTGAATGGCAGGTCGGTGGAGGCTTGTTCAGCTGGACGTTTCAATGGCGAGCTGCTAGCAGGATAGTCGTCAATACCGGATGCGCTATGGTTGGCGTTGATGTCGACGGATTGGTCGCTTGGAGCATAGGAGCTCTCTCCATCACTTTGATCCGCTGCCGAGTGATTGCCAGGACTTCCCCTGAAATGCGAGGTCGCAGCATCTGAATCGTGGTCACCGACACGTTCCTCATGAACGGAGCGCTCCTCGTCAGAGTCCATGCTCCTTCAGTTTCGTAAACGGTGAGTGTAACTGAGCCGGCGTTGACATTGTACCAGGGATGAATGCGGGCGATGTATTCTTACAAGAGTCGCATCTGGGATAAGGCGTTGTATAAGGAGGAAGGTTGTTGACAGTGAGGTCAATATGAGTTCAGTCGGAGAGGATCTCAGTTGAATCCCGGGAGAGATGGGCCTGTTGATGACTAAGCCGTCCCGGAGCTTGTCACCTACAAGGACTTACACCCGTCGCCGTGTAGTATTTGAAAAAAAGAAATCAGCAGTAGAACTTCACAATGGAAAGTGGATAGAGTTCAACCTTTCTCCATTACATTTCGCCTCAAAAGCAATGACTGGCTCGCAGTTGGCGGGATATCTGAGAGTTTTTTTTTGATACGCCCGATTGGGACTCCCAGCGCCCGTACGTACCAGGTTCACTAATAAGGACTGTATTTCGTCACCGCCGGAACGATTCATGTTTCCTCCGGCAATTAATAAGTTACGCAACCGGATATATTGGCCTTCCTGCTTTCATTCTGACCGCCGTTCAGTTTTGCCAGATGCGCTTACTAATGAAAAGTGGGCCCGGGCGCGATGAAAGCACGATGCGCAACCTCGAAAAATTTCGTTGACACACCCCATCGCCGCCTCAAGATGTACAATGCTACACACCGTTGCAAAATGCGTCTTCAGACCATCGCTTGAGGCTGCCAAACGGACGTGGAAGACAGCTCCTTTCAATATCTTCGCGGCTGGCCTTACGATTTCCTCCAAGCCAAAGCTTCGAGACTACCAGCAAGAATGTATCAAATCAGTTCTTTTATCCCTGAGGCGAGGACACAAACGTGTGGGGATATCGCTGGCTACGGGAAGCGGTAAAACCGTAAGCGCCACCGGTCTTTAGTTCAGAGCAAATTTGACCTTGGTGCCATGCCGGATGCTAACACGGCTCAGGTCATCTTCACCCAGCTCATTGACAAGGTGCATTCGCGTCCAAATGGCGGGGATCGCACTCTGATTCTGGCTCACCGTCGCGAGCTAGTGGAACAGGCCGCCCGGCATTGTCAGATGGCATATCCGGACAAGACCATCGACATTGAAATGGGGTCGATACATGCTTCGGGAGCAGCAGACATCACCATTGCCAGTGTACAAAGCATCACGTCTCGAGACCGCCTGGAAAAGTTCGTACCCTCGGATTTCAAATTGGTCTTGGTGGATGAGGCCCATCACATTGTGGCGCCGGGATACCTCAAGACTCTCAAGCACTTCGGACTAGACCAGAAGCAACGAGACTCGCCCACGCTCGTCGGCGTCTCGGCGACATTTTCCAGATTCGATGGTGTCAAGCTTGGTGCTGCGATTGACGAAATCGTCTACCACAAAGACTACGTCGACATGATCAGCGACAAATGGCTGTCAGATGTCATATTTACCACAGTCGAATCTTCCGCCAACCTGTCCAAAGTCAAAAACGGTGCCTTTGGCGACTTTCAAACAGGCGAGCTCTCCAAGGTTGTCAACACCAATGAAGTCAACGAGACCACCGTCAAGAGCTGGATAGCCAAGGCTGGAGGCCGAAAAAGCACACTGGTTTTCTGTGTAGATCTCGCTCACGTTGCCGGACTTACACGCAAATTTCGAGAATACGGTTACGATGCACGCTTCGTCACTGGCGACACGCCCAAGCAAGAACGAAGCGACATCCTGCACGATTTCAAAACGGGTTGTTTTCCCGTCCTGGTGAATTGCGGTGTCTTCACCGAGGGAACAGACATACCCAACATTGACTGCGTCGTTCTCGCCAGACCTACAAGATCGCGGAATCTCCTTGTCCAGATGATCGGAAGAGGCATGCGTCTTCACCCGGGCAAGAAGAACTGCCACGTCATCGACCTAGTTTCCAGCTTGGAGACCGGCATTGTGACCACGCCCACGCTATTTGGTCTGGACCCGAAAGAATTAGTGGACAAGGCATCAGTAGCAGACTTGAGAAGAATCAAGGAGGCTCAGAGAGAAGAAGACGAAGAATCGAGATACCAGCAAGCATCCTCGAGTGGGTCAAATCCAGCAACCAAGTCGGCTGACACGGTGACATTCACCGACTACTCCTCCGTGCTGGACCTAATCGCCGATACATCTGGCGAGAGGCACATTCGTGCCATCAGCCAGTACGCCTGGGTGCAAGTCGGCCCCGAAAGATTCGTCCTCTCGGCTCCGAGTGGATCGTACATCCGCATCGAGCGAGTCCAGGAACCAGCCGCCATCTCATCCCCGACGTACCGGGCGCTGGAGATTCGCGCCTTGCCCCCAGGGGTAGCCAAGTCCCCTTTTGCCGCGCCCAGAGAGATCCTCACAGCCGCTACGTTCAACGACGCCGTCCACGGGGCAGATACATATGCGGCCAACGCGTTCCCTCACAGCTTTATACACCGACACCAACCGTGGCGGCGGCTGCCACCTACGCAAGGACAACTAGACTTTGTAAACAGACTACGTGGAAGGGCGAAAGCGTTGACGGTGTCGGATCTCACAAAGGGCAAGGCTGCGGACATGATTACAAAACTGAAGCACGGTGCCCGCGGGCAGTTTGCAAGGATAGAAGCCGAGCAGCGCAGGAGAGAGAGGCAGGCGAATGTTTGGGAAACGAGACAGAACAGGGAGCACGTCACGGTTGGGCCTGTCATGGCATGACCCGACTGAATGGAACTGTATCATTATAGGGCATTTGATGCACGAGCTTGACGGCATGGACGATGATGTCATTAGACGATGCCACGCTGCATGTAGCTTGCATCACAGAACTGTCTTGTCTATACATGACGGCCTTTCACACCGGCCATCTGCACATCCATCGCCCTGTTCAGGCTCCAACGACCTCAATCACGGAAGAAGTCCTTGCGCGCAGTCCAACGCCCGGATTCCTCTGCACCAGCAACCCCCCTGCCAACCCCCAAGAAATGCACTCATTTCGTTATGCCTCGCATCTTCGGTCTGATTTGGCAGGGGAGTGAGTAAAGTCGCAACAAGGGCACTCACTCACTTAGAATTGCTATTCTCGTGGGAACATTCACAGGGCTTAGGCTTACAAAGTCTTCGGTCGAATGCACTCAATCGTGTATATTTCGCCAGCTGTTCCTGCAATTCCCTTTGACAACTAGGGCTGCGTAATTCCATATATCTCTTCCCGCAATTCAAAGGACGAGCTCCAGTGACAATTTCCTCAACCATGGCCACCTCGCGTACAAGGCCAATTGCCTCCATAATCGAATAGAAATATACCATTGACCAACTCCCATGTATTGACAAGTCGCAACTCGCAATGCCTTCTTCAGTTTCGATGCAAAACTCGCTTCAGCTGCGGAGAACAAGAAAAAGAACAATGACAAGCTCTCCCAACTACCATTTCCATCATCTGCCAAACATATCTGCAACTAGGGTATTTTCTTCAACTTTTTCTTTGTCTCAAGCCTATCTTCAGTCGAATTTGCGGGTATAAATAGAGACATTGCTATCAGTCGTCAAGACTCATGCTAAATCCCGGCATAAGCAAAAAATAAAGAAAAAGACATCAAACTTAAATCTCGTGAGGCATCACAACAACAAAACGCAAGAAGCACAAGTCAGTTCAAAACATCGTACTTGAAAATGAGATCAAAACCCGACCGAAGTGGAACCAGACGTTCCAGGGTATTTTGTGTGTTATTCTGTAAGAGGGTATATCCAGCCGGGGTATTCGAATGTAGTCGTTCTAAGTCAGGGAATCTAACGGAAAGGCCCAATAGGGACAGGGTATCCTGAATTCATGGAATGAGAAGTAGATGGACGACCGCTGTCTCCAGACGCGCGGGGATTGTGGCGAGGGGTAACGTCGCCGGGAAGGGGGATGGTCAACTTGTTGTCCATGTGTTTGCTGAACGGCCGTGGTGCCCAAGGATTCTCGTCCTCAGACAGGTTGACTCCGCTGTCGTTCCAGGGGTTTCGGTCAGCGTTAAAGCTTCGCGTCGACTCAATTGAGATCAAGGACGACTTGGAGACGTTGCTGGATCCTTTGAAGAAGGTGCTGTTCATCGAGTGAGAGCTGTTCTTTCTGCGGTCAAGAAACGAAGAAATAGATGACATGCTGCCAGGCTTGCGGAGGCGGTCCAGGATGCTGCTTCGCTCACGGGCAACCTCAGCACCAAAGCCAGCCTTGACGGGCGAATCACTGGAAGACGAAGCAGGAGCATGCTGGAGAAGCTTGGAATCAAAGTACTGCAAAGAATCTTCAAAGGAATCCGACTTGGGCCGTGGGATGGATCCCTTGACAATGTTCGTCTCAACTGTGGCAGCAGCCATTTGAGCTTCTAGAAAATCGATGGCATCGCGGAGCCCACCTGCATTATTGCGCGTGAAGCCCCAGATTAGAGTAACAGTCGGAGAGCCTTCTTCAGTCAGCTCATCTGGGTTATGGTGAACTGTAACCTCCACTTCGTACTGGGCTTTGAGCTTCGATACCAGGTCGGCGGCGAACTTGGGTGAGTCCAAGAACTTGACTAGCTCGGCTGTGCGAGCGAGTACCAATTCATGCTTGTCAGGGACCATGCCCAAAAGCTCGTCCACGCAGTGAGGGACCTGCCATTGAGGGCCAGTAACCGTGACTTCGTCACTGGCTTCTTCGGTACTAGGAAAGTTGATTTTACAATTGTACTTTTGCTCCAGCTCGTCGATTTCAGGAAGACGTGCGATCAATTCCCGGTGGTAAAGGCGGTCTACGCTGGCGATTTGAGTGGTGTACTCGGAGTCCTGGCAAGGCAGAAAAGGGTCAGGTTATGGCTTCCAATGGTCGCTTCGGCCATCACTTACCGCACGATCCACCATCTCCAAAATCTCGTTCTTTACGGCGTCTAAATTCTGGGCATTGCGGGCCGGGGTACGGCAGATGACATTGTCAACCTTAATGTCGTCTTCCTCACGCCCCATGCCGCCTGTAGTGACTGTAAGTAAAAAGATATAGGGGCCACGAAAAGATGTGTCAAGTCGTACCTCTGTCCATTGCATTGGAAAACTTGACAAAGACAGAATGCTTCTTCATGATGCGTTGAATATGCTGACCACCAATGCCGATAATCCGCTTGTGGTACTGATCGGGGACATGAAAAGAGATAGAGGCCGGCATTTCTTGTTCAACCAAAGTCAGCCCTTGCTTCATTGAATCGTAACTGGCTGCCATGACATCAATGTTGAAGTTGTACTCGTTGAACCCATCAAAAATAATTTGCACATTGCCTAGGGCCGGTTTATTAGAAGACATGCCGCAATGGCGACTCCGGGTAGATAACTCACTCTGGCCCATGATCTTATTGATCTTGCCGTTCTTCTTGCCGCTGACAAATTCCTTGTGCTCGTTGGCGAGCTCGATCTTGACACGGATCTGGTACTGCGATTGGGTAACAAACTTGAGGTCAGAAATGACAGTCAAGGCAGACTTTACCGCATCGTCAGATCCCGTGACAGTGAGGCTCATCCTGTCATAAGATAAGTCCGCCTCCGCTTTGGCACAAATATTCGACAGCATAGTTCGTATCTCAGCAGGTGCGAGCGGCTGCCTGACCTCGGGCTGCTGCATGTACCACCCAGCACCGTAAAATTGACCAGCCTAGATGAGCATGTCAGAACAAAGACCAATAAATCAAGTGTCACCGGGCACTTACTAGCGACATGAGCTCGCGAACCGTGCGTTCAACGGGTAGGCTCTCACTTCCCTGAACTCGGACCATAGTTCGTTGGGAGGCCAGAGGGGGAAACATGATGTACGTTCCATTGGCCTCAAGAATCTTGCGGACCTTATCAAGACGTCCAAGAAGGATACTATCAATCTTGGCAGCGGGGATGTTAACGTCTTTCATATAAATCCGGATTCTAGAGACAGTCTCATGCAGCTTCTGCTTGGCAAGTTCGATCGCCTGAGGCGTTTCGCCCGTGATGAAGATGTCGGTAGGGTCGCGGCGAGTAGCGTTTTGTGGACAGTAGCGGTACATCTGCGAGAACAGGGGTGGAAAATAGATAGCTGTACCGGTAGATGACTCGATCAATTTGATGTTCTTTCTATGGCGGCCACAAACGAGTTGGTGGAAGGACAGCTCAATTTTCGTGCCATCGAACATGCGGCCAAGCTGCACGCAGAGTCAGTAAAAGCGGACGAAGAAAAATAGTCTCGATCGAGGTCTCTGCAGTAACGAGGGTTTCTCTCCCGATAAGAACTGGAAAGTCAAAGAATGAGTCGTACCAAAGTATCAATGTGAATCAGGACACGAGCCTTGGCATGCTCTGACGAGAGAATGTCACCGTAAATGGCAACTCTCCATCGCTGGTCGATGCGCAGCTCCGAGTCACCCGTCACACCGTCAACCATGGGAGTCAACTTGGGCCCTAACAAGAAGATATCCACACCACAGAATGTAGAGATATAATCCAATGTTTCTACAACGGGTTTTTTGAGCACGCCGGCATTGATATCACAAACCAGGTTTCCGTCGATATCGATTGTCGTGCATCGCTATTAGATGTGGTCAGAAATCACCTGAAGTCTTGGTTGCAAACGTACACTGTAACCCAACAGAAGCATGTACAACTCAACTCGAGGGTCTCATACCATGGAGATGGGGATCTCGTTCAAGATGGTCTCCCGACTCTTGTGAACCAGCTCGGGGGAGCCGGACAAGCAAACCGTGGTAACTTGGCCTCTGCCATTCTTGGGAGAGGAAGAGATGATGTGAGCCTCAATGGGCAGTGGCCCAACAGACAAATCTCGGCATAGTCTTCCAAGGTTGGCTAAATTCTGGGTATGGACCGGCAACTCGTGGACTTGCACATCGTCGGGAGCATCGGCAGGGTGCGTCCAGCGAAGGACGGCATCGGTGGTGGCATGGACAATGTCCTCGGTGTTGGGGCCCGCAAGGTCGGAGGCGAAGGGCACGTTAAACGAGTAGTGAATGGAGGCGTCGGCAGCCTGTGGTGAGTTGATCGGGCCCAAGGTCTGGGTAGCGTTCTTTTGGTGCGGGTTTAGAGCATTCATAGGCATGTTGGGACGACCCATCCCGAAGTTTGGGCTCATCCTTTCGGACCAGTGACGCACGTTGGCCAGCTTGTTCATGTTGAGCGGGCACAGCGCAAGTGAAGGCAAGGCTACGACGACCTGTTGTCGACGAGGAAGCGGGCGTAGAGGAAGCTCGATGGCACGCTGAACTAAGAGGCGACATACGAAGGCTCTGGCGGGGGCGAAACGGTGGCTTTTGAGCGAGAAGGAAAAAGAACAGCTGCTTGGGTATCACCAGGGGAAGAAGCAGGCCGTCAAAGTCGCCGAAAACAAGCACGGAAAAGAGAGGAATCGTCGAACAGAACAAGAAAGGGAGGGTATCCGGGGTATCAAGGACGAAAACTGGATTCGATGCGTTGGGCGAGAGTGAATAAGACAAAATCTGGTGGGGGAAGGGTACGGGAGGGGAGAGAAAAGAAGGGGGGAAAGAAGATTGATACGCCAGTCTTGGTTTTTCCTATTCCTCTCGGGTCGTTGGATCGAATCATTTAGTTGCTTGGTGTTGAAAGGAAGAGAGGAGTCGATGAGGATGTGGACGAGCACCGAGTGCAGGTGAGCAGGTGAGCGAGGAGGGTGGGGAGCGGAGGGAGTGGAGACGGAGAGCAGGGCCTGCCAGCCTCGCAAGCTACCAGACACGACGAGACCAGGTCAGGCCCGGCCAGGCCACGACGATTAAGCACCCAACAACAGCTTGGCGCACGCGAATACCACTATCGACACGAAGCAATATACAATAAGCACCAGGCACTAAGAATCAGAGCATGAGCCCCTGCGAGCAGGCGACACTGGCGTACTCCATCTACAAGGCGAGCCGTTGGGTTGGCTGACGCCAACATACCCAGGTACCCAGCAAAAGCTGGATGGAGACGACATCAACGTCAACAACATTGAGATGGTCAGCCAGACAGGGCCCGGCTGTGTCCACCAGTCAGTCTACAGGCCACAGGCCACAGGCTACGAAGTCTTGTAATCTACAATCTCGGGTGGGCGGACTCGCCAGTCGATTTGCAGCACCGTATTACGGTACGAACATGCCAGCCAGCAGCCGGGGCTAACGTGGAGCCCGTGGCAGATATGCAAGCTCGGTTGGCCTGGCTGGCCTCTGCTGGGTCTCGGGTCCGTGAGTGACTTGGACTTTTGAGTTTTTTTTTTTTTTCTTCTTCTGTGTGATTGTGTGAATCCGGAGCAACTGCACGGCGCAACACTGAGTCGACGACCCAACAAGCAGCATTCGCCAGAACGGACAGGTCAAAGAGGGTGGTAAGCCTACTCAGGGCAGCCCAAGATCCAGCCAGTTAAGGCCCAGTCAGCATGAAGCCGAAGCCCGGCGGAAGTCGTAGAGGGAATCCACCGGCCGTCTTCGGACAGGAACAAAAGTGCGTGAAGAACTAAGAAGGCGGAACACCATCTGTCTGACTCTAGGCAGCATTGACGGAACTTGGCACGCGACATTGCTATGGCGCCAGATGGGAATGAATGACTCCGAATGAGCGATTCTTTTACGTTCTGCCCGCTTTCGTGTGGTGGGGAGGGGGGACTGGGAATACGTTGCCGCTGTACTAATAATGGTGCCTTAAGTACTTAGTAAGCAGGTTCTCAAGTACTTTGGTAGGTACCAGGCCAGGTGTCGCATACATAGGAAGTACTCCGTACTCCAAAATATGTACCTAGAACCTTGGCAGCTACCACACTGATACGTATCAAGTGCAGTCGCGTCGGCATCGTAGACCAACCAGCCACTAGGACCAACAAGACTTGAGCGTTCCAGCCGGACATGAGCTTCCAAAACATCCCAGGTGCCTAGATAAGGCGGCACTGCAGAAAACTGAATGCTGAGACCACTCACCTACTGCTTGGTACCTACTTGAGTGCCCACATGAGGTACGCAGTACTCAGTACATACGTAAGCACTTATCAAGGCACCTGAGGACGCGTTCCGGATTTTTCTGCGACCCGCTCACTCATCTTGCAGGCGGCCAGTCGGGTGCATGCTAGTAGCACCTCGGTACTTGTTACCTACCTCGGTACGAAGCATTACCTGGAAGGTGCCAGGAGGGACCCCAAAAAGGCGGTACATACTCCGTACTCCGTACTCCGTATTGATCCCGGACACAAGCAGGACCATCCTCTTCAGCAGCATTCATTCATTCAGTCGGGCCACGAATCGGCGAGCACTGACGACATTGACGATTCTCATCAATGCTGGAACGCGTCGACACTGGAACGCACCCCCTTCCTCGACCCAACGTCCAATACAATTATGTCGCAGCCGTGGCCAGGGGGCTCTTGCCAAGCAAGCCTTCACGAGGACCTGTGGGCATTGAAGCATTGAGCGCTTGCGAGCGAACCGTGGCGAAACTAGTGGACAGACACGTGTGTCGGGGCGGCCAGGCGGCCAGCAGGATTCAAGTAAGTACTATTCGTATTTACTTGAGTAGGTACTTGTACTGACTACTGAGTAGGTACTTACTTCAGTGCTTACTTACGTACCTACCTAGGTACCTATAAGTACCTAGATACTTAGTCAGTAGACCTACTCGACCATGCAGAGCACTCAAGTACGGGACTGATTCTTTCCAAGTACGGATTAACGCTTATACTCTGCTACCAGGGCTTCTTGTTTTCCCCTCCCCCCTTCATGTTTTGATACAGAGAGAGGCCCTTTATAAATATCAAAAATCGTACAGAGTACTGTATTAGAACGCCCAACGACTGTCCAGGTACCCGGGTTCTCCGTCGAGCAGCGTGAATCCTGTCCATTCTGCTGGCTTCGCAGGGACGGCCTGGTTCGTTTCATTGCGCCCCGCCCCCTCCCATCGACAGGACGGCCTGGTGTCCTGATCCGTTGCAAGTCTAAAACGTCTCGTAAACACGAACCTGCTGTTTGTCAAACATAGCAAATAGGACGTGGAAAGTGGGAGGTGGCAGGGAGGGAGAGACGCGTGTCTTGTGTCTTGTGTCTTCTGCGTTGCACCTAGGTGCCCGGGACGTGCATGCCAGTGCCAGATTGGGGACTTGAGGGCCGAGGCTACCAATTACCCAAGTACTGATTACTGGTGACGCGTCCGCAGTCCGTACTCGCCCCTCCTCCTCCTCCGCACGCACAATCGTATTCAACACCATCCGATGCACCTCGAGCAGCGGCCGACAGACAGACAGACTGGCAGCCACGCAGCCACGCGGCCGGGCGGGCATGATGACATGCTCCGGAGCAAGTGGGAGCCGTCCGCTCCCCTCCCCGTCCCAAGCTGTCCGTCCTGTGTCCTCGTCACCCGTCCGAAAAGCTCCAGCCTTCAACTCACGATGCATTTATCACGCAGTACTCCGTACTAGTCCATGCTACGAAACAATGCCCCTCCTTGTACGGTGCAATACTTGCGGGCTCCAAGGGCTCCAAGGGCTCCAAGAGCAGGGCAGGGCAGGGCATGGCATTTGATCCCGGCCCTCCACATGGCTGGTGGCTACTTGCAAGAGGTGGCCCAGGCGTGCTCCCATGCCGGCCTCGAACCTGACTGATCTGATTGATGGATGTCATTGTGGCTGCCGGGATAGTGAGAACAACACATGGCTCGAATGAGAGGCGTTTTTGCTCTCCGCGGTCAGTAGTCAGTCAGTCAGTCAGTAGAGCGCGAGCACCAGGTAGCCATGCGAGTCCTGACTCTTAGAGGCTGAGTGCTTGTCGAGGCACGCTTTTTTTCTACAAACGTCAAAGTCGGTAGTGTTTCTCCATGACACGCAAGTCATCATGCTGTCTGAAAGACGTAGCCCGCCAGCATGCATGTAAACAGCATTGCCGTCATCGACGTAGTCTCCACGCTCGGCCACGACGCCGCAACTTACATCATTCTCCGTACCCCAATCAATTTAATCTAAATAGCTTTCGAGCCCCCCCGATTCAAGCGAAACCTGGGACGACGAGCCTCTGTGCGCCGTTCCCACAAGCAGTAGGATCTTGTGTTCCCTTCTCTGCCGAGAGAGGACAGGCGCGGTTTTATATTGACCATCGAACCCATGTGGTAAGATTTTCTCGACGTGGCTGGTCCGAGTTCTGGCCATGGTTCGCACAAGCCGCCACCCAAGGCCGTGATGTTTCCATGGTTGGAGCGTCTCGCGTCTGCGTGCTAATAGGCTTCGAGGCCGGTTTGGCGAGAGAGAGAAACTGGCTTGGCTCCTGGGCACGGACGAGTTTCCCTCTCCTTTATTGGCCTTTTTGTGCGAGAAGTCATGTTTGCTGGGGACGGCGTCCGGCATCGTCGTCCGTCCTCCACACCACAACCGACGCACTGCCCACCCGTTCGAACCAAGTACGTATGCCCATCTCCATGTTGCACGTCTCTGCTGTTCTGAGAGCTGAGAGCGCCCCACAGCACGCGCCGTACGGATATCTCGCCACTGCCAGTCACGTCTTCCTCGCCGAGGTGCCGGAGAGTTCAGGAGCTCGACAGTGTTGCAGCATCCGCCGCCATCGTCTCGTGCCTGGCCTGCCTGGATACTTAGAAGTAGTAGTAAAGTAGGTAGGTACCTAGGTAAGTAGCCAAGTGCCTAGGTACGCACTTACCTTGGCAGTAGCGGGACGGCAAACGGGCCGGCCGCTGCGACAAACCCCCTCCTCTTCGTCTCTGATTTCGATCCGTCTGAACTGAGAATGACCGCTCCGTACCCGGGTATCAAGTCTCAACAACGACAATATCTGTACAAATCGATACGGCCATGTCGACACTGCCCGGTGTTTGGTCAAAGACTTGGAGACGAGACTTCCTGGTACCTAGGTAGCCATGTACCCAGAACAACCGGTTGACATTGGGGCCAACTCCAACCGTCCGGTATTCTTGCCGTCCCTGCCTCCTTGCTCTTGCCCTCTTGCCCCGGATCCAAGCATAGACCAAGTACCTGGGTACCTACTTAGACCTGGGTCTGTGAAATCCCTACTTAGTACTCCGTAGGTGCCTAGAAGTACTTGGGTGGATTCACAATACGCACTGGCCTTGGTATCCCCCCAAGTGCGCGCAAATTCGCAACTGCCCCTGATGTGCTCCAAGTAAACCTGCTTGACCTCCAAACTTGTGCTGGAAACTAATAACGACATGCTCAACTGGGCTGCCCAACATTTCGCTTGCACCTATCCAATGCCCTCCATCCTGATTCCTGGCACGCTTGTTCAGCTCATCCGTTAACAGTCGGTCCTGTCCTGTCCTCGCACTCTGGCACCACTCCGATACACCAACTGTACACCCAACATTGCCAAGATGGCCTTCCAGCCATGGCATGGACCCTCGCCGATTCGTGACCCCGATCGTCGGAACTTCGAAAGCATGATATAACTCTTGGGGCTCTGGGTAGCGGGATGCAAAGAGTCAATGCTAGCCGCTCAATATCCTTGTTTCTCATCTATTTTTTGTATCCAATTACAAGACGACTGCGTGTAGATTGTGCCGACCCTTCGAAGAATAACACAAAGGAGCTTTGGAGGGCTACAGCTTTGCGCTGCCAACCATGGCAGTAGCAGTGGGCATTGGGCACCTATCAGACAATGCTGTTTGGTGGTCAATGCCGGCGGTCCAGCACTCAATTGTGGTGCTGAAACATATTATAGCCCCTTGGCTCTCCTTGACAATACTCTGATGTGATTGATTTGGATGTTGGTTGCGTAGTTCGCAGAGATTTGTCGTCAAGGGCATCCACTCAACAACAAGCTCGTTCAAGCCGTGCTAATACTCCCGCCTCCCCAGAGTCATTGGGGCCCATATCGTCGGCCTCAGCGCTTTACGATCATCTATACACTTCTCGCCTCACATCGTCCGCATATACTATTTCCTGAGTGGCCCCATGAGGCCGCTCAATGAATGCGATTTCTTCCCCGGCCTGGGTTCCTCCATTCAAAGGACGATCCCCTGGGCGGACGCTTAAACCTCGCTGCGCAACAGGCTCCTGAGCATGACCGGGCCTGTAGTCTCTCATGTAGGGCTGGAGCACCTCGTGGTGACCGTCTGCTGGAAGGGCACTGGCTCTGAAATCTGTTGCCCCTTGCGCCTCCGGCCGGACACTAGTAACACGTCCATACTCAGCGGGCAGCTGGTACCGGACTGTCTCCACCGGACGCGCACCGGACTGACCACCTCCATAAGCTTCTTCAATGTATCTCCTCTCCGACGGAGCTAATACTTGTACAAATCCCCCATGGGGCTGTGGCGGTCTGGTTGAAATTTCCCTTTGCCATACATCTCGATAATCATGGCTGGCATACTCTGGCTGCGTTGCGACCCGGCGCGGCATGACGTAGGCTTGGTTAGGCGGTGCGTAAATGACGCCGTCATCTTCATACGGCCCCGGGGCAGGATGGCGAGACACAGCACGGGCCGGTAGACGTTCGTACAGTACCTCATGTTCACCATGCCTGGAAGGAGAAGTAGCAGAGATGTGGGACGGCGAATTATGGAATGGCTCGATGTACTCACGACCATGGGCATCAACCAATATCCTTGTATGGGCTAACCTCGGGGGCGCAAAGAACGTGTCCCCTTCCGCATGGCCCGTCATTCGAGGCCCATCGCGATATTCGCGGTATTGGCGTGAAGGGGCAGGATATGGATCAGTCACCATTACCCGCGAGATTGATCTTGAACCAGGAGTAGCTCGAGTCGGGTACGACATCGTTGAATGCTCAACCTGGGCCGGACGAGGTCCAAAATCTTCACCGCGTACCTGGCGCACATCGTAATACTCTCCACTATGATACCGTACATCGCCAGGCAGCGTCTGGTAGTGAGCAGCCGGCCTGGCATATCCTACCGGTATGGGCTCCTCTCTCTGCTGTCTTGTTATGTACTGAACACCATCATCCTGAACATACCGCGGTTCGTGACGGGCTGTGGCAGACGGCCCTTGGTCATGCCTAGGACGCTTGTTTGGGCGGAGATAGGACGGGCCTGTCAACGGTGAAGGTGATCTAGGCTCAGGTTTGATGTATGGAGCTGCCTCAGGTTCTGGGGCTTGCCTGTCTGTCCTCCTTTTTTTCTTCTTCCCCTTTCTCTTTCCGCCTTGTGATGAGCTATCGGGGCTAGTTACGATATTCGATACCGTTCTAAGCGCGGCAACTTGTGCGGGAGTGCCCAAAGCGCTGCGGCCACCACCTATGGGGGCATCGTGAGATGTCGACGATGCAGCCGCCAGGGCTCTTATGGCAGAGGGATGAGTGGGCTGTGGCGCAACAGGTTGCAGAGTATGGTTCCGAACGAGAGGCGACGGTGGGCGGCTGTCAAGATACACATCGTTACGATGGTGGGGGACACTCGATGGCTTGTGAGTCTGAGCTGCAGCCGTGTCCGAGTAACCTTTATCTCCAGACTGGCCGGCAACATTGCCGTTGCTCTGGTTGAGCGCTTGGACGTAATTATTCAGCCCAGGAACAGCGCTCACGAATGGAGGTCTAGAATTGCTCGCCGTTGAGGGGTTGTCGATCCCGTTCAGTGGCTGTGAGCGTATTCCAGTCGTCGTGCCGCCACTGTCATCGTGAGGCTTTGGTGACGGTTTTGTGGCCCGGGTAGGACCTTTCCCGGGTTGTGTTTGAGGGTTAGTAGGTTGAATTCCTTCAGATTGATTACGGATACGTGAGGTTAGATGAGACTCGGGAGTTTCATGACGGGAGGAATAAAAAGTGCTGTCGTCCAAGGAATCACTGGCGGTTTCGACGTTAGCAGTCAAATTCTCACCGTGGTTGGTTGGCGCATGTATAGATTGAGCCATAGCAAGGCCTTTGGCGAGCACATCAGATAGATCGAGGCAAGAGGTGGGCTCTGCTTGACTGCTCCTTGCAGTCCGACGTTGTTCAACCTCTTCCTTGATGGCACGTTCTAGGCGCTGGCGCTGAATCTGCAGCTCGGCTATGACGAGAGGTTCGGATTTTTCCAGGAAGATGGGGTTCAGCTCGGGAGGGCCAGAGTTAGGCCGGGTCAGGGCAGTGGAGACGACATGTCCGTTGCTGTTGCCAGTGCCGGTGCCGTTGGCATCGCCACCGTCAGTCTGCTTTACTTCTGTTTCTGTTCTCGGTTCTCGCAGGAAGGTTTGAAGCGACAACGGTTCCAATGATGGGTTCGACCCAGGCGGCACTTTCAGCGTTGGATGTTTGCCAGACAAAATATTGTCGCGAAAATGTACAATCTTCTTGTACTCCTGAATCTCGAAAATTTCTCCATCAGACAAATTTTCCGACGAAAGCCCAGCGCCTTCAGGCGCATAGGCCGTCGACTCTGCCTGAGGCATTGCACGGAGCACCCTGCGTCAAACTCGCGATTCCGTCTAGGCAATCCACGCAGTCTAGTTTGACCCCTGGGAAGAAGAAAGACGTATAAGAGCGAGTTTGCAAGCGCATATGACAATCTCGGTAGCGCTTTTCAGGTGCTGGCCATGACATAGTTGCACTTTCCGGTGATGCGCGACGCAGTGGTGCAGTCAATAGCTGATCAACAAGTTGGGCGAGCGGAATGAAACGAGGAGAAGTATTAGACGCACGATGTCTCGAAATGTCAGGAAGGCAGTTTAGTACTACGTCCTAGTACCCGAAGAATTAGGCGGTGTGCACGTGTACGGACTCCGGAGTAGGTGCGGCAAAATTCGTGCTGCTGCTGAGTCACCGGAGTCTGGACAAACAAAAACCACACCAAAAGAGTACTCGGTACACGCCACATCGATTCGGCTCAAAGACGTACCTCGCGAATCTAAAAGTCGTAAAGAACATACTTGCGTAGTCGATCGATTGGCGGGATTCCTGCATTGCGACGAGCACCTGTCCATTTCGTTTTCCCGACTTGATCATCAGGGGACTCTGAACTTGGTACTCGGGAGGGAGTAGCAGTCAGATCTGCGACCATTGACACATGAGTCGTGCATGTTCTCTCGTCTTTTGGTCGCCTCTCTCGCTCTTCGGGCATCTAGCCCGGTCATCAATTGCGATCCCTCACAAACATACACGACCGTTCGCCGGTTTCTGCTGCCTTGAATCTATTCACACCATGGCTGTTGTCAAGGGAACAGGGTCCGGCAAGCCGGTGCTTTTCTTGTGCGTGCGGTTATACAGAAACTGATGCACCGAATTGCGAGAGGCTGATGTGATTTTAACTTTGAAAGCGATATTGACAATTGTCTCTACTCCCGAAGTGAGTCTTTGAACTTGGCAGTCAATGCGTCGGCAGAGATGCTAAATTTCCCAAAGGCACCAAAGTCCAGGACCTGATGGCAGAACTAATCGATAGCTACTTTGCTAAACACCTGGATCTTCCCTGGGAGGAAGCCGTCAGGCTTCACAAGGAGTACTACACAAGCTATGGGTTGGCCATCGAGGGCCTTGTCCGCCACCACCAGATCAACCCCTTGGAATATAACGCCGAGGTCGACGATGCCTTGCCGCTCGAGGACATTATCAAACCTGACCCGGCGTTGCGAAGACTGTTGGAAAGTATTGACCGATCCAAGGTCAAGATTTGGGCCTTTACCAATGCTTACGTCACCCATGCCAACAGGGTCCTCCGCCTTCTTGGCGTTGAGGATCTCTTCGACGGCCTTACCTACTGTGATTACTCACAACAGCCTTTGATCTGCAAGCCGCACCCAGATATGTACGAAAAAGCCATGCGAGAAGCCGGGGTCAGTGATGTCAAAGACTGTTACTTTGTTGGTAAGTGCACGCCTCCTGTATCAAGAGGCTAGCCCCTGCTAAGAACCTGCAGATGATTCTTTCTTGAACTGCACAAAAGCCAGGGACTTTGGTTGGACGGCAGCCCATCTAGTGGAGGAGGGTCTCCCAGTACCCGGGACTAGAGCCTCCCAGGACCAGATTCGTCACCTGGGTGAACTGCGAACCATCTACCCGCAGTTCTTCAAGCCGTCTTGAACGCACAAAGTCTGGTTGTTGTCAGGTGTACAAAGAGAAGCAGCGAAGTCAAGCGTCCAGCGAGGGCGTACTGAACACTTTGAACTGTTCCTTGCAAAACTATGGATTTCACGTAGAGAACGTAACGATGGATGCCTTGAAAATCATAATTGATCTTTGAAAAATCTCCCCAGACATGACGTTACGCCACGCTATGCAAGTAATATCACAGGGGGTCCAATAAGTTCGAGACGTGGTCTTCACGGCCGTCGTATGCTTCGAATGACAGAGTCCAACTCTGCTAGGATTTGATCCCTCTCCTTCAGAGCTTCCTGCCGTTGCGCCTCTGCAGCCTTCAGTTTCTCTTCCAGGTCCTTAATATTCCGTTCTTGGTCTCTTTCGCTGTTGTCTAGCCCAGGGAGGTTGGATATCAGGACCTCTATTTGCTGTTCCTTGATGATGAGGTCCCGCGATAACTCTTTCAGGCCGGCAGCGAGTTCGTCGGCAGGCAATGGGTCGACTGCGCAGATTGTCAGTGACCTACGCAACTGTTGGGTACCGGCGGTGCTTCATGTGCTCACCTTCTCTCTGATGGGGCTCCTGTTTGATGTCTCGAACCTTGTCGTTTGGACCGAGTGTCTCCAGGTCGTGCCGTCTCTGGACAAAGTGCAAACAGGCGACGAACTGCTGCGCAAACTGAACAAGAGGCTTAGTTCACGTCTGCAAGTGACGCAGCGGGGGGCTTTTGTTGCAGTACCTGGTCAACTGCGTCTTGCAGCTGCGTCAAGCGATCGCCCATGGTAGCGCCGGAGGGGTTGCGATCAATTGCGAAGGGCACGACGAAGCCCTGCCGGGAAGCAAGCACCTGGAGGCGATTCTCAAGCCTGGAGGTGCAAGTTGGCCAGATGCACTGTAATGGCGCACTGTCAGCCCGGCCGCTTGGTGAGACGATCCGACCCACGGCACCGGCACCTTTGTGGCCTTCGGGCGGGGCGGGAGAACTTGACACCTTGTTATTGAGCATGACAAAAATATTGTAGTTACGTACCCCATTCATGATGCCAGAGGGCCACATTTCACATCTCACCTGGATCCCAACCCTTCCCCTGCGAGATTCCACCACCACCCACTTCGACTTTTGCCGCGGCGTCCAACGTGCCTCTCTCATCAGCTCCTTCATTGACATACCGAGACATTCGGTTTCTGTACACGATCGCGGCTCGGGCTCTGATTCGCAATGTCAGCTCCGCCGCCGCCCAACGGTCCTCCTCAGGGCAGCACTCCCATGCCGATGCCTGGGCAGCGTCCCACGCCTGAGCAGATTGCCGAGATTCAGCGACGGGTTGCCGAGGATGCTGAGAAGGCCGGAATGACTGTACCCGAGTTCATTGAGCACATCAAAAAACAGGCGGCGGAGCAGCAACGAATGCGCGCCATGCAACAGTCCGAGGCTGGCGAGCACGTCCATGGAGAACACTGCAATCACGACCACGGCGGCGGCCACAACCATTCCCACGGGCAGCATCAGCCAATTGTTCCTGGCCCTCCAAACCCCAAGGCCCTCGCTCTGGCGCATTTCCTGAAAGGCCAGGACCTCAAGCATCGAACGAGTATTCTGAACGGAGAGCGAAAGGACATGTTCAGAGGTACGCGGCCCATTGAGTCGCACGAGCCGTGTCGCTTCCATGTCAAGCTGACCTGATCTGCTGCAGTCAAGCGTGCGCTTCGAGCACTGCAAACGCCAGCGTACGAGAAAGCTCGAAAGAAGAACCCCCTCCTACCCGAAATCACGGACCGCGCGTCGCTCGAGAATGCCTTCAAACTCCTCCCACTGAGCATGCTGGCCCTCAGGGTCAGCAAAATTGAACCTGAAGAAGGGCCCAACGGCAAGAAGCCCAAGCGGACAAAGGGTCAGTGGAACGTCCGCATTGAGCAACAGCAGGATGCCGGTGACGACATGTACTACGTGTGGCTGTGGGAAGGCAGCCAAGTGAAGCGCCAACTGTATGCCGCTCTGGCCCTGGTTTTGATCTTCATCATAGTTCTCTATCCCCTGTGGCCACTGAAGCTGCGACTGGGTGTCTACTACCTCAGTTGGGGCCTGCTCGGTCTCCTGGGTCTGTTCTTCCTCATGGCCATCTTCCGGGTTATCCTTTTCTGCGTCACGTATTTTGCCGTGCCTCCCGGTCTCTGGCTCTATCCCAATCTGTGGGAAGATGTGTCTTTCATGGATAGTTTCCGACCTGTTTGGGCCTGGCATGAAGTAAGTCCCGCCGTTGTCTGTGTCAAGCGACTTGAACGCCAAACATGCTAACATGCTACCCACCCAGTCCGCCGCCGACAAGAAGAAGAAGAAGAAGAAGGCCAGATCCGCAGCCCGTGCTTCAACCACCGTTCCTAACAATGCCTTTGCCGCCTCGACCGGCCAGGTAGCACCAACCACCGCGACCACCACAGGCACTGATACCCAGATCAATGTTGGCAACGCCCAGCAGCGACAGTATGAAGCTCCCCGGGTCGAGGAGCTTGCTGACGACGATTAAGTAGGACGAGGGCCCGGGGATTGGTGGGGGGATTAAAGTCCTCCAAAGACCAGATGGCATCAAGTTGCGATAAAGACACGAAGGGGAAGCCTTGGCTGGATTGCGGGAGCAGGGCCTGTCCCTCCAGATTGAGAGAGTAGGAATTCAATCTTGGACAAAAGGGCCATGTTTGCAAAAGAAAATGGAGAAGAAAATGAAATGGCGATGTGACGAGTACCTGTAAGAGAACAGCGCATATATATCTATGTATTCGTGGCTCCCCTCAACACGACACCATATATTTCCTTCATTTTACATCTCAACAGCTCATCACAAGAAACCTCGGTCCTCGCCGCCCTTGGTACGCTCGTAATACTTGATAGCACCGCTGGCTTGTGCGCAAGCTGTCAACCGGCCGCCCGCCTTGCCAGCATCCAGTTTCCTCGCGTCGCCAGGCTGAGGCGTTCCACTGACGTGGTAGTAATACCAGAGCTCGTTGACTTCGGTGCGCCCATGATCCTTTGATCCCTTGCCAGCCTTGGTCTCATTGTACCTGGGGCCATCGCAGCCAATAAACGGCAGCTGGCCGGACTCCTTGGTCAGAGCATACTGCATGTCAGAGAGGCTGTAACCAGTCTTGTTGGAAGGGCGGATGCCCGCGTCGCTGAGCCAGCGGAACGAGGGGAGGCGGCGCTGCCAGGAGACGACCGTCTCGAAGAAGTCGAACAGGTCGTCGTGCTCCGCGGCCTTGGGGCCGTGCCACAGGTGAGTTAATACAGACAGACAGGTCCCTGGTGCAAGGCGGGCGGCTCGTGTGGTAGCCTACGTAGCATTCTCTCCGAAAGGTAGAGTAGCAAGTGGCGCGCTTGGAGAACTCGTGCGCCCAGAAGACCCAGCTGGGTTCGGACTGGCTGACCCAGTGCTTCTCCATGTAGGCGAGTAGGTCGAGCTTTCCGAACGGAGTACGGAGTAGGGCGCGAACCACTTCTCAATGGACTCGCCCTTGTACGCCGGGACGGGGGTGCCTTCAGCCGGAAAGGGCGGTACCGTTGCAGAAATCTGGGCAGATTGCTAGCAATGGGCCTTGCCAGTATTTGCGCGCGCTGGAGGAGGTGTGTTCTTGCTGCTCACCAGGCCACAGGCCGTGGATGGACCACTCGTCCCTGGGATAGATCTGGCCTCTGTCCTCGAGCCCGGTGAGGGTGCTCCGTGGCTGAGTAGCCACCTGTGATCCATGGAGCAGTTGTGTTGGATGGACGAGACGACAGCGCCGCGTTGGAGGTCTGGTGGTGCGCAAGGCTCACCGGCAAGCCGCCGTACGTCTCGACGCAGCACGAGTCCTTGGCCCGGTCGAGCTTCGCCTCGCACAAGCGTGAAAGCACAGGCTCGACTGCTCACAGCGCACCTGTCAATGACGCAGCAAATATCGACACGATCACACGTGGCGTGCCAAGAGCGCAGGTGTGGTTGTCCGGCGTGATTCCCGGATACAATCCCGCAACCGCCACTTCAGCCAAGCCCGAGAGCCCCAGGAGAGCGAGGCCAGCACGACGCATTGCTGTGGGTGATTGGAGTTGAATCTCGACAACGGACCTGGGGATGCCGTGCTCGGCCTCAATGGGGCTGCCTTGGGAGGAGAGACGGAAGAGACGAAGACGACGACGACGAGCATCCTGATCAGGCAGGTTGCGGGCGGCCAGGGCTCAAGAATCAAGACTGGTAGCTCCCACGTGCAACGGCAAGAGTCCAGCTCTGGACGCCGGCCCGAGACGCCAGACTCGAGACTCGAGACTCCAGAGCCCGTTTGCTAACCCGTGGACTCGCATCCAGAGTTTTGGTGCTCACTTGTGCTTCGGTCGACGTTGAAAATGTCCAAAGGAGCCCTGGGCTTCGGTTCTCGACTTGGCGTTGCCGTGTGGCTGTCATCGAGTGTTGGAGATGATTCGGTAAATAGTGAGCTGGTTGCCGGCGTCTTCCAAGATGATGAAATGAACTCGAGACCAAGGTCAGCTGTCCTTGTGAACGAGTGCACTGTGCACCAAGCGCATCTCGGTGACGGTGAGGGGAAGCCCAACTCTCCACTCCACAATGGAATAACACGACGGAGAGCCATGAACGGTCAATGGATTCATCTTGTTCGGCTCGGTTTTACCATGTTCTTGTCAACTCGACAACATACGTCTTGATTATTTGATTATTCACTCAATGCGCTCGGAAAGGCGCCCGGGACCAAGGCAGCAGCCACCGACTCCTCGCCAAATTTGACCCTGGGCTCGGCTCAACGCACTCGGCACACTGGACAGGATTACAAAAGCTCAAGCGTCATTCATATGTATTCGCTTGTCTGATGTGGCCCAACCAAAGCAGAAATAGGACAATACGTAGGTAGTCGGTCAGTGCCGAGCCCATGGTCACCGAGCCCCCCCAAAGTGTCCCAGTTAAACAGACCAAGAAGAAGCAACGACATGTTGCTTCTTCAATACCAGCCACCCCATTCACTGGAGCTGCTTATAGAGAAACGTACCGTCCTTCAGCTCCCCCGTCGGACTCATGCCATACCTAGGCACCCTCCCCGTCTCGACGTAGCCCAGCTTCCTGAAAACCGCCTCGGCGACACTGTCCGCCTCGGTGTCGAGCAACTATACTCCTCCAGGATCCCCCAAAGTCAGCCACGATGACACACACAGTAGTTGCCGGCTTTGCAGCTCGAACCCCCCCAAAAAAAACTAAAAAAAAAACTCACCAATACGCTTCTCCCCATATTCGCCGCCTCGTTCTCCAGGGCCTCCATCAAGGCCTTCGCGCCTCCTCTGCCCCTGAAGTTCCTGTGAACCAGCAGCTTTTCCACGTACCCCCTGAACGCGCCCGTCTCTGAGAACGGCGTAGACAGCATGACCACGCCCATGACTTCGCTGCCCCTAGGTTTCCCGCTGGCATCCACCTCGGTGACAAGAATCCAGATCAGCCTCTTGCCATCGTTGACTTCTGCGATGCGCTCCTTCCACCACTTCAGCAGCTTCTCGTGTGACAGCGGCGGCAGGAAAGTGGCGATGGCCTGGTCTTGCGTGATGCACGAGGCGTGGATGGCGGCCAGGTACAGCGTCAGGTACGAGTGTTGCTTTGGGTTGAACGCGAGGACGATCCCGGCTTGGGACATGGCTGCCAATCCCCAAATGCTGTGAATCCCGCTGATCCGTTCAAGTTTGCCTCTTGGGCGGCGCTGCTGAATGAATGACGGTGCGCTTACGAAATCCTAGATGTGGAAGATTTGTCCCTGTGCAAGTTTGGGATTTTTTTTTTCTTGCATGAACCAGCCCGACAAATGATTGCTGGCAAGCAAAGTGGTTTTCTTCTGCCGGCCTAGGCAATATCACTGGATAGTAGTGCGACCACGGAAGATGGAGTTTTTTTTATAAAAAAAAAAGCACCCCTTGAATCTGCTCCAAAAATATATAGATCAACGTCAAGTTCCAGAGCAGGGCCCGATGCCCTCTCATGTGATGGATGCAAAAGCGACCGCCCACTCACCAAGCCGATATTCCTCCGCATAGCCACGGAATGCGCTCTCGGCAGAGCCGACAAAAAGCAGACGGGTTATCTTCAAGTCTTTGAAGCTATTAACTCAGATGACGTACGGATAGAGAGTCTAGTACTCCGTAATGCAAGTTGAATTATCAAAGGGCGATGAGGCGCGCGGTGTTTGGACTCTCGCACATGGTGTTGCGCGGCCGGCGCTGATTGGCTGCGCGGCGACAAGTGTGGGGTGTCCAGCCGGCGCACTAGAGACCCTCGCGCCCCTTGGGCCTTGAGTCCTTGACCATCAACGGCAAGAATGGACGAGCGTCGCCGAGTCGTCTTCATCGACTGCTTGTTGCCAATCTGTACACTCCTCATGTGCCTTTGTAAGTTGTGCCTGCCTAGATACTTACAAGTAGGTAGGTAGGAGCCTGCCCAAGTACTTCAAGGTACTCAAGTAGGTGCCTGGGTACCTGGGGAGTCAAGCCGACCTTTATGCATTCCTTCTTTGACATTTTTGCAACCACGCGTTCGTCAAGTCGAAAATCCAACTCGGTAAATATCTCCAATTCAAAAACAGAAACAAATTGCAATTCTACTCATGCTGCATAAACATAACGGCCCGCCCAGGAACAGACCCATAGCTTCCTTATCCGCTCAAGCACACTTCCTCAAGCAGCGAACTCCGGCAAGGAGACATGGCTGCCATTTAAATACACAGCCAACAAATCAAGCTTTGGCCAAAGCGGCAGGCAAACTTCAACGAAAGAAGACGTGTCCTTTCCGTCACCATGCTCGAAAAATGCCCGCACCAGAACCACTGTGCTGTTATAAAGCGACGTTGCGATCCGTCGGCAATGTTGGCCGACGGGCCCTTGATCGATCCTCCTCTTGAGTTCCTGGGCTTTCCATAATAAAAACGCCGTGCATGCCGAGATTGCTGCGAGCCGCTTTGCTTTCCAAGACGATATGCCCCCATGCAAGAGCCATATTTTCTCGCGGCTAATCAGTCTTTTGATTGCTGTTGCCGTTCATACCTAGAAGACCTTCCTTGAGTTGATTGATACCCATGGCATCGTCCAGTCGGAAGTGTCCAGCCCGAGCACGACGGGAACGGCCACGTAACCATGACAGAGTGCCAAATGTGATGCCCAGAACACAGGCCATAGACAGGTATAGGTGCTCCACAAAGGCCATCTGAATGTCAAAAAATATCTTCTCAATCGTAGACACGGTAAGCTTGTGTTTGATGACGTGCGGGCCATACACAATCTTGTCCAGTGTCTCCATAATCGAGGTACGGCTAACCATGATGTAATTACCGGTCGCCGTTTGATCCCAGTATCGACGGTTCTGCAGGCGTGTTAGCTAGCTCTGAAAACATTACCGCGGGGCAGCATTTGACCTATTGACAACTTACGTCTTCGTCGTTGATGATGACCCTCTCGCCATCCTTGACGTCAATGCCGTACGTTTGTCGGACCCAACGCTGCCAGTACGCGCCATCGACCCAAGCAAAAGTCACTTCCTTGCGACCAGAGTCATTCATATCAACTCGAATCCCCTTGGCGGCTCGCAAAGCGCGCTGATCTCCGCGATCCTCTGCCTCCTCAATTCTCATCTGTTTAGAGTCCCGCAACTTCTTACGTTCGAGTTGGAACTCCTGTATCTGTCTGTCCAGCCATTCGTTTGCCGCGCTCTTCATTTCGCGAAGGGACACAGAGAACGACTCCTTATCCGAATGGCTCAGGATGCCGAGGACGACAATTTTGCCATTCAAAATCTGACGGGCATTGGAAGGATTCAACTCCGGCACCAGAGGAAGCCATACATGCCTCATCCAGTTCAAGACTTCGTTCTTATCTCGCATTTCATTGGGTGTAATTGGAGGATAGTACGACGGTCTGCCTTCGCGAGAAACCATCAGCCTGGGCCAGGTTGTGATCTTGAAGCGTTGATACATTTCGGGATCATTGGTCTTGACAAGTTTAGCGCGACCAATGAGACTCAGGGGGATCTGCTCCAAAGCTCTGAAATCTTCGCTCGTTGTAGCATGATCGTAAAAGTACACAAATATAACGTCTTCAGTCTCCTCCATTGCCTTGAATGACGTCGCATTGACATCGGGAATGCCACTAGCGAGGTCGACTGCCTTCTCAGCAAATTGCAAGAAGTCGCCAAGGCCACGGAGCCCCGAGTACTCGGCTTTCTCACCACCTTTGAAGAACATAATCGTTGGGTATGCAGTGGCGTGAACATCCTTGCAGAGCCTAGACTCCTTGTCGCAGTTGACTTCACCAATGTTCAATGTTCCTCGCATTGTTTTGGCAACTTGCTCCCAAGTTGGACCCATTGCCTTGCAATGAGAGCACCAAGGGGCATAAAATTTGATGAACCAAGCATCCTGGGTCTGGGTCACCAAGTTCTGGAAGCTTTCGGCTGTCAAAGGGATTGAGACACCCTCAGGATTAGGTGTGACAGTCGGTTTCGGAGGCTTTTTTGCCTTTTCTAATTCTCCAGCTGTAGGGACGCTCCAGTCATTTCCAAACGGCTTCTTGTCGTCGACCTCAGTTTTCTTGGAGCCTCCGTCCCTGGAGTCTTCGTTTTTCTCGGCGTCCTTGTTCTTGTTGGCATCATCCTTCGTAGCGGTTGCGCTTGGCGTCGGGAACTCTGTGGCGCCCGGCGACGGCAATTTCACATCCTGAGGCCGGGAACCAGGATGTTCCTCTTCCAGGGCTTTTTCAACCAATTTGCTGACGAAATCTATACCTTTTGCGCCCTTAACCCGATCGAATTCTACGCCGTTTTTGAACAGTATTGTTGTAGGGTATGAATTGACTTTGAGCTCGCTGCAGAGATCTCCATAGACTGTGCAGTCTACCATGCCGAATCTCATGTTGTTTTTTTTTAAAAAGTTTGAGCCGTCTCGAGGTTCCAATGTGAAATAGTACTCATAGACGGTCTGGTATGTTGGGGCAAACGCCTGGCAGTGGCCGCACCAAGGGCTATATACGGTTAGTCAGATCGTGATGAACAAAACGTCCAAAGAAATGGCGTGTCATACCTAAAGAACTTGACCACAAGCCATTTGCTCTGTGTGAGTTCGTTGGGCCAGCTTGCTGCCGTGAACTCCTCCAACGACGGAACGTCTTGCCCATTGAACGTGGTACTTTTGGCAGCAGTATCCTTTTCTTCACCAGAGTCTCCAGATGCGTTCGCCGTGACCAGAGCCAGCGCACCGGCCAGGAACGACAGGATGCTCGATCTCATGTGTGGCGACGCGATGTACCTCGACAAGTGCAGATCCTATTTCAGGCAGAGGAGACAATCCGGACAATCTGTGGCAGGGCGAACTGGCGACGGAATGTCAGGGAGAAATGTTGAAGATACGGCCGTCGAACACCGTCGGCTGGATAGTAGAGGCGATAAAGAGTCTGGTGGATTGGCTCCACGGCACAGAGCAGCGTGGTTCGATGGCGATGCAAGGATTGAGAATTCATGGATAGGTCGTAAGGATGAACCAAGACAACCGAGGCGGGACGTCTTCATGCGGAAACTCAGGGAGAGGTGGCGAAGTCCGAGACACGTAAACGAAACGATGGTTCCAGCCACAGATGCGCACGGCCACAGATCAAGCACCCCTACGGTTCAACTCCAAGCGGAAAGGACTTCTGCCCTTGCATTTCATCCACCATCGCAAGAAATTACCGGGTCGCAGGCACATGTCTGCCGTATGTTTGCGCCTGTTTGGCTGCTGGTCGGTTGCTTCATCTCCTACTACATGCCCAAAGGACGTAGACGGTGACGGAGGCCGGAGAGAACCCTTGCTACCGCCTCCGTCCGATGCGGCTGATGCGCCTCACTAAAGCCTCTTTTTTTCCGAGTCAGCCAATGATGCGCCAGGATACCATTTTAACATCGTCCACGTCTGTCGAATAACTCGATTTGCTTGACGTCTTCAGCTCGTCCCGGGCCGTAATCCAACGGCAGCGATGGAGAGTCGTCAAAAGCGGCAGCGAGTCGATGATTTGCAGCGAAATGATCGTCCTGGATCACTGTCGACTCCTATAAGCCCCCCTCGGAAGATTCGACGTCTTGAGACTGAGCGGCTGGCCTCTCCATGGCAATTCACTTGGATAAGGGATCTTCCCGAGGAACTCAACTGCGACGCCGTCACCCTGAAAGATATTCTCGGTGACCCACTCATCAGTGATTGCTGGGAGTTCAACTATCTGCACGACATTCCTTTCTTGATGAACGCTTTTGACCAGGACACAAGACACCTCGTAAACGTCCATGTTGTTCATGGGTTTTGGAAAAGAGATGACCCGCATCGGTTGGCGCTCACAGTAAGCATTGCATCCAACGACCCAGCCAATGCCTCAAAATATTCTACGTATATGGTTGTCCTGGGCGTCGTCCTAATGTGCTACCATAGATTAAATCGTCTGAATTCAGTAATGTAAAACTCCATGTGGCTCCAATGCCGGAAATGTTTGGCACTCATCACTCGAAAATGATGGTGCTCTTCCGCCATGACGACACAGCAGAAATTATTATTCACACAGCCAACATGATACCAAAGGACTGGACGAATATGACGAATGCCGTCTGGAGGACTCCACGGCTATCTAAGTCTCCCGCAGGGTTTAGGGAACGGCGAGAGTATTGTGACCTGCCAATCGGCAGCGGCGAGAGATTCAAAGCCGATCTTCTGAATTACTTATCATCGTACGACCGTCGAAAGCTCACCTGTGGGCCGCTTGTCGGACGGCTTAGTATGTACGACTTCTCCAACGTCAAAGGTGCACTCATAGCCAGCGTTCCCGGAAAACACAGCATACATGACCCTTCTGGTAGTGCGTATGGCTGGTCTGGTGCAAAGCGGTACTTGAGTTCAGTTCCGTGCAAAGAAGGTAGTTCAGAAGTTGTCTGCCAAGTGTCCTCTATTGCGACCCTAGGTGCCAAGGATACTTGGCTCCAGCGAACACTTTTCGATTCTCTCGCGGCATGCAAGACGAAGGCCTTACAAAGACCAAAGTTTAGCATCGTATTTCCGACGGCAGACGAAATAAGAAGGTCCCTAGATGGCTATGCATCTGGGGCCTCGATTCACACAAAAGTTCAGTCGTCTCAACAGGCCCAGCAACTGGGCTACTTACGACCCATCCTGCACCACTGGGCCAACGACAGTCCAAACGGCACTGGTGAGTTGCTTAGTGCAGGTGTCCGCCATTATCATATGTGGACTTTTTTGTTTCGTGTCTGACTTGGGACAGCCTTATCACCTGAAATCACGGTGCGGAATGGTGGACGAGACAGGGCAGCGCCACACGTCAAAACTTATGTTCGTTATAACGAGGAGGGCTCGATCGACTGGGCCATGCTTACATCTGCCAATATTTCAAAACAGGCATGGGGAGATGCCTCGGGGCCGTCTGGCGAGCTGAGAGTGGCATCTTGGGAAGTTGGCGTTCTGGTATGGCCGGGCTTGGTGGTGCGAGATGTCTCAATGGTCGGGACGTTTCTACCCGATGCACCAACCGAGCTGGAAGAAGAGGCCAGTTCCAGGGCTGGTGACGGCAGTGAGTTGATTGGAGTCCGGATACCTTATAGCCTACCACTGCAACGGTACGGTGCGGGAGAGGTGCCATGGGTGGCGACCATGAGGCACAGCGAACCTGATCGTTTCGGCAGGCAATGGACGGGCTGATGTTTTCTCAACGTATGTCGGGTACGGAGTAGGATGCGGCTGACTGCATCCTCGTCATTCTGGTGCACGTCGACGTGTATGGCTACCAAATCGAGTCGTGTTATGCGCTCTGCGGTATGTTCCGCCTCCGCGACATGACCTCTCATCAGAGAGTAGAGCTTCAGCGGAGACTGTTGGGCTTGCAAGGGAACCTGCCTCCCGATTTTTTGGCGACAGCACTTTCTTTGTACGAGGCAATCGATATCTTACACAGACGCAGCGACGTGTAACTTACTTGGCAGTAGTACTTGGTGGTACCAGTCATCTTTTTCATGCGGGTGGCGTCGATCACTGTGCGACTGGCCAGGTTTTTAGACTTGCCACATTAGAAATTTGACACGAGCATTGAGATGGCCTGTCATCGTTGCGGAAGTGATGTACATGATGGAATGCCCGATTGATGCCAATGTTACCTGATGTTGTCGATACTCGGTTCTCTCTGGATATTTGAAGCGTACCAAGCCACCAACGTCGACCGGACCCAGTTTATTTCTTTTCGACAGTCCAGAATTAGAAATGATTCATTAGTCTGAGACCCGCCTAAGGATAACTAATGATCTTGATTAACTCGGTCCATTCTTCCTTCCTCCTCTATCCTTCTCGAGTCTGGCCATCGTGGAAATTTTTTTCCATGTTAATTTTGTCTTCTCCTTTCTTCTCCCTTCTTCTCCCTTGTGTGATCGCACCACAGCAGCTTATCGTGGATCGCTACATCTCTTCTTTGGTATTCCTTGTCAGACACGAGCCAGATTTCTCTCTATTTTGCTGTTATCCGCCTGTCCTTGCACTGCTTCTTTTGAATATGCCTAGTCGAGGGAACTGAATGTGCTCGTTGCTCCTTAAGCCGTCTGTACGTCCCACGTCCCCAGCGCATTAGACTGTGTCATCGCATAGCATTGCTATTGCCATTCTCAGCGTCTTCTCTTTGCACCAGCGCTGATTGAAGCAGCTGGTTCGAGCAACCATCCCCTCTCGCAGCTCTTCCCTTTCTCGCCTTTCGGATACAAACTAGCCTCGTCGCCGACTCGGACGCCCTGCCAACCACGATGGAGCATGGGAGAAGCATTGGAAACTCGCCCAGTCGCCGCGATGTCTTGTCAAGCTCCGCCCAACAAAGATTCCTGTCCAGCTCCCCATTAGCAGGGCGATTTCTCGCCGAAGACATAGCCGCATGCTCTGATGACGGCTATGACGACACCGTGGCGGAAGACCATATCGACGCTGAACGACCCAGTCACCTCATGTATCGCCGCCCCAGCGGCGTTGCCTATGGCGGAACAAGACCAGTCTTTAATGCGCAGCCTATTGACGAACCCGTCCTGACGCCAATGGAGAGAAGACAGTCTCGCCAAGCCGAAAGAAGCCTCCTACGAGACAACCATGTGCTGCCCCCCAAGCACAGAACCCAGAAGCAGAAGCTGTCCTTTGCCCGACGTCTATACGGCACACTCTTTAGCACAAAGCTGCCACGGGGAACCGTCGACGAGGAACCGCCCGAATACGCCCCTACGGAAACCTCGCCACTCTTCAATGGACATGGCGAGGGTGTAGGCTCCGACGCCGGGTCCGGCTCAGCAGACGATGTGCTGGAGCAACAGTGGGAAGAGGCCATTGCGTCCGGCCGATTGCAAACTACGTGGCAGAGAGAAACAAAGACGATTGTGGCTTATTCCTGGCCACTAATTATTACATTCGTCCTGCAATATTCCATTAACGTCACGAGTATTTTCGCCGTGGGCAGGATTGGGAGGATTGAGCTCGGAGCTGTTTCATGTAAGTCTTCCGTCTACGGGAAGCCCGCTCTCCAGGTCTTCGTGCAGAGAGGGGCAAGAACGCAAGCAGAACAAGGTGATTAATTTTGACGTCATAGTGGCCAATATGTCACAGGCAATTAGTTGCCTCGCCCCCTTCCAAGGCTTAGCAACGAGTCTGGACACACTCTGCGCCCAAGCCTACGGCTCGGGTCACAAGCACCTGGTTGGCTTACAATGCCAACGAATGGCGTGCTTTCTCATGTTCTTGTCGGTCCCGGTCGCCATACTCTGGTTATTCGCCGACAGAATCCTCGTCTACGTCGTCCCGGACGCAGAAACCGCCCGTCTGGCAGCCCTGTATCTCAAGGTCATGATCGCCAGCATCCCCGGCGTCATCCTCTTCGAAGTCGGCAAGCGTTTCACCCAGGCACAGGGCCTCTTCCGGGCAACCACCTACGTGCTCCTGGTTGCTGCACCCATCAACATCTTCATCAACTGGCTTCTCGTATGGAAACTCGGTCTAGGTTTCGTCGGCGCACCCATTGCCGTCGCCATCACGGAGAGCTTGTTGCCAATCCTTCTCGTCTTGTACATTGTCCTTGTTGATGGCAAGCAGTGCTGGGGCGGCTTCAGCAAGCGCATCTTTACAAACTGGTGGATCATGATTAAGCTCGCCCTCCCTGGTATGATCATGGTCGAGGCAGAATGGCTCGCATTTGAGATCATGACCCTCCTGGCTGGGCAGTTTGGCACCGAATTCCTCGCTGCGCAGAGTGTCCTAGTTACCCTGTCCAGTATCTCCTACCAGATTCCGTTTCCCATGTCCATTGCCGCGTCTACACGAGTGGCAAACCTCATGGGGGCGGGGCTTGTTGATGCCGCCAAAATAGCCGCCAAAGTGGTACGTAAAATGTCCCTCTGCTTTCCGGGTTGAACTTCGCAAAGTCTCCTGTCCGACTTGTACTGACACACGGCATATAGACCGTTGTACTAGCAAGCATCCTCGGCGCCCTCAACGTAACCATCTTCTCCTCCCTCCGCTTCCACCTCCCCGTTCTCTTCACCAACGACCCGGAAGTCATCAAGATTGTCGCCAGCGTCCTCCCCCTCGTGGCTGTCATGCAACTTTTCGATGGTCTCAGCGCAGGCGCGCATGGTCTCCTCCGCGGTATCGGCAATTAATCCATCGGTGGACCAGCCAATCTCATCGCCTACTATGCGGTGTCCCTCCCCATTTCGCTTGGCCTTGCGTTCGGATTAGGCTGGAATCTCGAAGGTCTGTGGGTCGGCGTCACTATTGGCTTGGTACTGTAAGTGCTCTTCGCTGCCTTTCGCAATCTATTCTGCAAAAAAAACTAACAATCTGCAGCGTGTCCGTCATCGAATACACGTACCTCTTCAAAACAGACTGGCACAAGGCCGCTCTTGAAGCAGAGGCGCGAAATGCCGCCGGTTGAAGCTTCCACATCATCAACATGTACCTGTAGCTCTTGTAAATTTTCCTTTGCCTTTTTTTTTTTTTTTTTTTGCAGTATACCCTCCCATCGTGGTTGGATCATCCGCATACACAAATGATGGTGGCATATGGACATTGTTTTTTTGAAAAGAATCTCGCATAATTCTGCATACTTGTTGGGGGATAATGCATTGAATGGTAGACTGCCGCTGTGGGTTAAAATACGCTGTTTCAATAGCGAGGAAAGAATCGGGTCCGGGTGTCTTCTCTGCGCTCCTACACGAAGCTTTGTTTCCCTGGTGCCTTTTGCTTACACAATAGCGTTGCGACACTTGCGCACGCAAGTCACTACAATACGATCAAAATGCCGTCTTTGAAGAATGAACAGTGCCACCTGCGTATGGTACATGGATCGTAGACATGACGGAGGCGGTCTCGCGCCGCCGAGCGTCTCTTCTTCTCAACCTCCGCTGAACCGCTGTAGCAAACCCACTGACACTTTTTTTTTCTATTGACTAAAAAGAAGAAGAAAAAGAAAGATGAAGTCGACATTCCTGGTGCGTAGAGTTCAAAAAAATAATAATAAACAATAAATTCACCGTCCAAACTCCGACTTCCACTGTCCCGGCCAAATCAAGCCTAGCTCAGCATAGAGTGCGTACGAATACCCTTGGGACCGAGCTCGCTACACGACCATCAGTAACAAGTACACGCCGCGAAATGGAGCAGAGGAACAGCATGGGAGAGGAGGAACAGCGGACTGGAAAGGGGTAGCACATACTTGTAGTCGACTCTGCTGAGGCTCATCAGGCGCTGGGCCTCGACGCTCTGGGCATCCATGTTGGAGTGCAGGCTGAAGGCGATGCGCGCAGCGACCTGGGCGCCGAGAAACATGGCCTCCTCGAAGCCGTTCCTTGTCCACTCGGTCAAGTATCCCGGCAGATTGGCCGTCTTGATGCTCGTGGGCGTCTGGCTGTGGAAGTGATGGGCCGCGGGGCCGGCGGCGTCGGAGCCCACGCCCAGAGTGCTGGCCGTGGTGGCGGCTTGGAGGAGGGGGTTCACGCCGCTCGCGGACAGCTGGTGTGGGACGCCGGTGAAGGAGCCCGTGGGCGTCTGGGACCCGGTGCCCGAGGGCGTGGCCATGTTGGAGGGCAGCTCCGAGGTGAACATGGTGGCGGTGGAGGGGGAGATGAGATGGCGAGCGTGGAGGGTTTGGAGGATGTTCTCTCGGAGGCCACGGAGGCGGGACCCGTTGCCGACAAAGACGAGGTTGTCCCAGCACTGGGGCCGCATGTACATGTCGTCGATGCCCTGGATTGTGCGGTAGATGGCGGTGACGATGCGGTCAATCTCGTGGCGGTCCGCAAAGGTGAATCGCTCGAGGCCGACTTCGATGTCGCGACGGACACGCTTGGGCCGGTACTCGGGCGTGTCGGAGACGGCGTGGTCTGGTTGAGTCGCGTCGGGCCTGGGCTCTCCAGTTGCCGACGCCGGAAGCGCCGCGGGCAAGGCGGCGTCGCCGGTGACTTGTTCCGGTTTGGCTTCAGCTCCTCCGCCACTGGGGTTGGGTGCGGCGCCATCTGCACGGCCAGGGATGGATTCACCGTGCCTGGGAGGCTGATGTTCTGGAGCGGGATTATCACCTGGTGTCTCCGTTGCGCCGTTTGTACCGTTCTGGTTGGGTTCGGGCGGCACCAGCTCCTGGGTCACCTCCTCATAAAAGAAGGTATTGACCCTCCTCTTGGAATTGGGGAGTCGAGCTGGCTTGGCGGGCGCGGCATCGGCATCTTGAGCCTTTGGTTTCCGGCCGGGCTTTCCCTTCTCCTTCTCCTTTTTGGCAAGGAACTCCTTGGTTTGGCCGCTCGTGACAATGGCCGCGACATCCAGGACACCATCATCGTCGCCGTTGTTGTTGTTGTTGGTGTTGGTGTTGGTGTTGGTGTTGTCGTTGTCGTTGTTGTTGTCGTTGTTGTCGTTGTTGCGGTGGTTGTTGTTGTTGTTGCTGCTGCTGCTGCTGTTGTTGTTCGAGTCTTCGTTTTCACCGTCATCTCCGCCGCCAGTGACAGCAGAAGGTCTGGCAGGCTCCGCAGCTTTGCTCGTATCAGCTTTGCTTGCATCTGCTCCTGGTATCGCGGCGGATGCCGAGGCACCGGGCGGTGCTCCAGCAGGCCCGGCATCCTCGGGCAGTTGCGCGAGTCCCGACTCGTTAGCAGCATAAGGTAGGACCTCGCAGATTGCGCTTTTCTTCAGCTGCTCGGCCATGTCGTGGGTGAAGCTCTTGTCTCTCAGCAGCTTCATCAATCGTCGCGTGAAGACTTCGCCGCCGCTAATGGGGCTGTCGGTACGCGATGATCCCACATCGGTGTGATTGACGACTCGTCCGTCATGGATTGCCGTCACATCAACCTTTTCGAAGCCAATGTCAATCACGGTCATGTTTGGCCACTTGAGACCGTACTGCGTCGCGATGCCGCTGTGAATCATGCACAGCGCAGGCGTCCGCGTCTTCTCGAATATGTACTGAGTGATGGCTTCGCAATCGGGTCGAGTCCATTGAGGAGAAGCCATTAGCAAGATGGGAGTGTTGTGGTAGGTCGTCGTGAGCAAGCTGTGGACATGGTCGAGGAAGGCGAGGAAGGCATCCATGTGGACGATACGTCCCCCTTGTTTCGAGTCGAGCATTGTTAGTTGGCCTTCTCTCCATTTTCCGCTCCCCTGCATCGGCAAAGAATCGTCTAATGACTCGAGCATCTCGGCATACCTTGAATTGGATACGTGGCGCCCTTGTCCTCGTCGACATCCTCCACCCACTCCTCCTGCTCGACGCCATTCACAACCTTTGTGCGCTGAAAGGAATAGTACGGCCGCCACTCGTCTCCGTCTTTAAACATCCTCGTGGGAATACGGTGCATCGGAGGGGTCAGTTCGGCACATCCCAGCTGCGCCATGGTTGTCCTGCTGCCGGGGCAGAGAATCAGTATCTGCTCCTCGCGCCATTTAGCTTGTGAGCTCGACATTTTGTTGGGCAGCGGGGTACCCCTCCGTTTCCGCCAAGTCGCGTGCCGGCGTTCTGGATGAAGGAGGTGGTGGTAGCCTCAGCCGTTGCGACCGGTGGGACGTTGCGATGCGTTGTCGAGAATGCGCGCCAAGCGTTGTCGCGAGGGATGCAGTTATCAACACATGAAGCCATGAATGAGCGACGGAGCCGCAGCTGTTGGCAACGAGGCTTGGAGTCTCTGCGCGCTTGTGGCTGCTTGTGGCTGGTACGTTTTGTGTGGCGGTGCTGGGTTTTTGTAGTGGCCTGGCTCAGCTCAGTCAGTCAGTGGACGATGTTGACGTCGAATTCAGACTACATTTTAGCCATGGATGTGAAGTCTTCTTTGGGATCCCTTCAGCAGTGCCAGCTAGACGCTACGAAGATTAGACGACTTCTTCGTCTCCACTACGCAAATCGAGTTGTCACCAAGATACAATTCCAAGACACGTCGTTTGGTGTTGGATAGATACCACATTATATCTCTAATTATAGCCACCTAGTAAAAACTCCCCCAGGCCGGATTCCATTCCCTACCCGTCAGGCGGCCGGACATATCGCTCATCCATTTGACTTACAAATTCCCTCAACTCTGCACAAGAAAGGAATGCACAAAGCTCAAAAAACGCCATAAATCGCAGCCCAAAGGCCCCCCAACGTAAACCCCCCGGTAATCGACGCCAAGCAGAAGTGATCCAAACGCCTTCTCCTAAACTGTAACAGCAAGTCACAGAGACACTCAAAGGCGTCCCCGCAAATAATGTACACACTGTGCCCTGCCAAGTTTTTGTCGATATGAAAGGTGAACCGGTCTGCTTTTTGCAAAGTGTCGTCAAATAGTTCGTCAAGTATTGTAGACTGAAATCATCAATGAGAGATTTTTCCCGCCCTCCCAGTGCCCTCTCCCTATTCTTTCCTGATAGTGATGCTTCATAACTTCATGGCGTTGTATACCTCGCTCTTTTTTCTTCTTTAGCTGGATGAAATAGTGATGGCCGACGCGGCCAAATCCGGCTTTTGGGCTGTCCGACATTTCGGAGGCTTTTCGTCTTGCAATTGCACCTGTCTCGCAGTTTTCTTGGGTGCGTCTTCTTCAGTTGAATACTCCGTCACTGACAACGGTCGTTCGGAAATAGGAGTCGTTAAAGACGACTGATCAATACTCCAACGATCCTCGTTCATACCAGTGTAGATGGAGGAGGTGTACTTCTTGCTCGTAGTGGAGTCCGAGTTGTCAGTAGGGGTTTTGATGGACTCGTCATCTTCCGTCGCGCGCTCTTCAATGGACGCATAGTCTGATTCGGCCTCCTCGGGCTTGGAACTTGTAAAGCCGTCAACGTCTCCGTCTTCAGGAAGTGGGACGTTTTCTGGTGTGATGGTATTATTGGAGATGACTTCCTCAGCCGAATCCGCACCATTGGTCTTCTTGGCTTCTTCATCTGTGTCATCAGCGGGAAGGCTGCCCGGCATCATCACATGACCCATGGATGGTGTCGCTCTGCTACCCTCATCCGCCCGATGCTCACGCGCCGGTCTTTGTTCTCTGTCAACCTCTTTTGATGCCATATTGTCCATGTTGTTGCTATGAGTCCGCCCGAGATCGGCCGACTTGCTCGATACAATGCGTGCCGGACTTGGCTGAGATTGGCCGTCTGGGGCATCCTCTCCGCCACGCAAGTCGCCTTCGCTGAATGCCTGGCGCAGAGGGCTCCGGGCTGTGCCACCCTCCGTACCATTGTCGCTTTCCTTGCATCTAGAGTTTCTCGCTGGGCTCCGGGTGGGCAGCGGAGGAGGAATTCGCTTGGGAATCGTCACCACGCTGCCTTTTGCTTGGATCATGCGCGAGGCCACCGCCCTAGTTCTGGTAGGTTGCACCTGGGCAACCTCAAAGACAACGGGCTCTTCATCGGAATCCTCCAAATCATCTTCGTCATCAGCATCGTTGGTGTCGTATTCCAGTTCGTCCTCCTCGTCCTCCATCTGATTATTCTCCTCTTCGATTGACCCTTTGACTGGCTTCTCAGTATCTCGATTGCTGCAGGACAACGGTGCAGAGGCCCGAAGCCTATTTCGTGGGGGGACCGCCGGCTCTCCATCAGGAAGGACCAGGTCAATCGAGTGTGCCTGACTGAGGTGTCTCAATGGTGTGAAATCAACAGCGGTGTAGTCGACCTCGTCATCCTCCCTAACTTCTGGGATGCGGTCAATAGCGGCGCCCTCATGACCATTCTCGCTTTGGCCCGGGCTCGGTGTGGTTTCTGCTGTATTGCCACCAGTTTGCGTTCCAGCATCCGTCATCTGACTCTTGACGGTGCGGGCAGACATGACGCTGGCTCGATTGCTCTTGCTGACAAACGTGTCGATGCTCTGTCTTCCGAACTTGGAGAGCGTTGGGCTGCGAGAGTTGGAGTTGATTTCAAATTGGTTGCTTGCGGGTCGTACACGGGTGCCAGCCTCGCGAATCTCAAGACCAGCCATTTCCAAAGCAAGGACACCATACGGATCGGGGTCATCGGGTTTTGGTATTCCAAAGGCCGAGCGTGGAGACGCCGGTGTAGACTTGGGAGTGGCAATGACTGCATCACCAGGGGCAGGCTCGATAGCAGTTTGGTCAACAACTGCATTGTCATAGTCAGTCCGGCCTTCAGCCATCTTGATGACTTCGAACAAAGGCCTGGTTTCCTCAACATGGCGTGCAACATTGCCGGCAAGAATGTCCATCTGGGTTACGTCGACGCCATAGAAGCGCTCGTTCTCATTGCCGCGTTCTGTGAGAATGCAGCCCTGCAGATTCACAGCTTGATGTTGGCCACGAGCTTTCATGTACGCTAAAACTGTATTATCGAGGTCCTTCCAGTTGAAGTTGGCATGGTCGGAATCCATGGCAACTGAGGGTCCGTTGCACAACGTGACGTCTTCTCCCAGAGTAACACGGGGCCGGGTGATCGACTCCAGCGCAGAGGGATGGGTCACAACGAGAACACAATCGTAGACGTCGACACCGATTATAAAACTGAGCGTCGGCGTGTGAAGCATAATACCCGAAGGCGGCGACCATGTCCCGTCGGATTTCCTGGCAATGAGAATGCCGGAACCACCGGAGCCAGTCATCCACAGGCCACTCCTCATGCATGTGAAGACTGCGATGCCCGCGGCGTTTTGTATGACGCGCTTGGGTATCTTTTTGGTGATTTTGACGGGTGAGTGAAGCTCCGAGATTGATGCACGCGCCGGCGTGTCGCCATCTATAGGAGCAAGATAGCCGTCGGCTGTTCATCGTCACCAAGTTAGCAAACTGCATGGAATGGCCAACAGCAAGGCAAAGAAAAGACGGATTCAAGAGAAGAAAGCCCCCGGACTCCAACGCACCACAGAAAGACTTTAAAATGCGGGCTGCCTTGAGACACTCCATGTCGAGTGTTGAGGGCCAGAAGGCCTCGCGTTGGACCCTGCCGCCATTGGCAGCGGCAACATTGATCCGGGCGAGATGCTTGGCGACCAAGGAATTAGAGGCATTGTTGGAATTTCTATTGCGGCCAGCCCAGCCGAATATTCCGCTTGGTTTCGGGGTGGCAGGGGCAGAGGCGGCGGTAGAGGCAGAGGCAGAGGCAGAGGGAGCGGCAGAGTTGGAGCTCGAGTGTCGCTTATCCCACGAGGGCAGAAACGATGACATGCGCTGCATATTGGGCTGAGGGGCGACGAGGCCGCCTCTCTGTCGTCACCGTCGTCGCTCAGGCGATGAGCCGACAGAGAGGATGAAAATCAAGAGTCGAAGCGAGGGGGCCCAGCAACGCAGCCTGGTGAGCAGAGATGGCGCCCAAGTCGACGATGGGACGGTGAGGGAGGGGAGGAGGATATTATGAGGGTACTGCCCGGTGGACAGAGGCAGAGGTATCGAGTATTGTATTGTCGCAGGTGGAAACTCATGACCCAAGCGCCCAAGTACCCAAGTACCCAAGTATTGATGCAAGGAGGACGGCGCAATAACTACAGCAGAACGGAGAGGTGCCACCAACTAAACCAGACTGACTGACTGGACTGGACAGGTTCGTTCACTGGGGATCGCTCGCTCAGCGCTGCGTGCTGCTCGCGCTGCTGGTGCTGCTGGTGCTGCTCGAGAGCCTGGCGGGGCGGCGGCACCCTGGGCCTTGCTCAATGCTCAGGCAGTTTAATCAGCGGGTTCTCGCATTGATGGATCACTGTGGGCCCTCGAGGTTCTAAGTTTGAGTACTGTATATTGTACCCGCTAGTAGTTGCAAGGGCATGCACTTTTTACGGTTTCACCAGGCCATATGTACAGCCACCGCATCTCAGCCCGTCATTCAGGGATCTGGTCAAGTTGATGGTGCTATTTCGGGGACAGTACTCCATAACGCGGCATGGCCCAAATGAAGCTTTTTCCTTTGCCTTCTTCTCTTCCTTGGTAAAAGTGACTAGAAATGCTACTCCTACGACTGAACACGCCAGCAAGGCGACATTGAGCACCATTGAACGCAAGCACTACCCAGGTGAGTAGTACCTGCCAACTTGCCTAGGTACCAGGTAGGTCCCCCCCCTCTTCCCCCGGGTTGCGATCCCGGCGACGTATCAATTTCTACTGGGCCAATCAGCATGCGGCCATCTGACTTGGAACCAGATTTCGACACCCGAAGCTGCAAGCGCAAGCTCCTGTGTCCAAACAAAACTGAAGCGCCTAGTTTGTTCAGCAGCCCACTAAAACCAGAGATGCTATGGTAGGGGTGTGCCACAGGCGACGGCGATCTGTGCAGCGCCAGGAGCGGGGGTGGGGGTAGGGGGCGGTCCACTTGGCATTTTGCACTTTGCCAGGCGCGCCTTGAACACCTATTGCATGCGGCGGCACACACACTCCCTTCGGATTGCCAGCACGGCAGCCAGTCGATACTTTAGTCAATGGAAGAATACTCGCATTACTAGGCACACTCCATCCACAAGACAGGCAAGGTAGAGTCGTCCACCGCGCGCGTGGGTTCGATTTGGTTGTGTTGGTTCCCCAGGTACTTCATACTCGCTGATGCAGCTCAAGGTCTTACAAAACTTGCGTGCCTCGATACTAAGTAGGCGCCTGGCCTGGCCAACGCGTCTGGTACCTTCCTTATTGTTGAGACATTTCTTGCGTCATGCCTTCCTCATCAACTCGACGCCAGATTTCAGATGCCGTCCACGGATAAGAAAAGGACATTGCCAACTGCATCATCAAGATTGCGTCTGTTTCCGTCTTTCCACCGATTTACTCCGTAATCCTTCTTCTAATGACTTGTGTGTGGTCTGCCTCAAATTCAAACGACAGGGTCTGGCAATCAGACACCGACCCTCTCACAACATCGAACCCTGACGTGAAAGATGGAGCCGTGGAGCTTGGTCCAGTAAATTTGCACAGCTAACATGATCGCTGTCAATTCCCTGGTTCTGCGCACCCAAGCTCCCTGCATCGAATACAGACAGACAGACAAGCACATTCGAACTCATTCATCATACATCCGGTACGGAGCACACACGACTGTGGTAAAATTACTTGCAGGGACCCGACCCCAGCTTTCTCGCAGTACATGATGCCAGGCAATTGGATTGGGCATCATGGCCGTGGAATGAGATATTTGGCCACATTTGTTGCAGTTGCTGAAGCGTCTGGTGGCCCAAGAACGACACAAGTTACAACAAAGCCCTAGGTGAGACACACGCGGCCACTCGATCAGCAGTCCGTTCCGTCTCCGCGGCCGCGTACGCGTACGGAGTGGCACTGGTAATTGAGACTGGCCGCAGTTATTACAGGCCCAATGTTCGGGCAACTCATTAGACTCGGTGTCGGACTGGTGCTTTACTTCTCATCTACCGAGTACGTGCCACCGCTACGACAACATGCTGACTTAGTGGTCCGTAGTAGTATTCGTGATGATACCGTTATCATGCTCAACCTCAAACACCCTCCAACCACCAGGTTCCAAAAGCGTCTTCCGGCCGCCCAACGCACATGCATTATGTCCCGGCTGTCCGGGCTTGCGTACGGGAACGACAAGCACCATGTGTCGTGCATTCTTTTGTCTCCGTGTACGGAGTACATACGGTCGGCATGGGCATGACATGACTGCACGGTTACCGCGCGCAAGGTTGCGTCTGGTGAGTACTGTGTACCAGCTTGCTGCCGGACCTACCCAGGCGAGGGAGGTACCGGGCACTTTATGCATCGAATTGACCGCACAATGACGCATTACCTCTTGCCCTAGGTGCAACCGAGCATTCTTCTTCCACACGACACATTGCTGACAAGAATTCAGCCTGGGGTGGATCGTCATCTGCCCATTCACATCGTCATCTGCCCATTCACGTCATCACGAACATGCGAGAACTGGCATTTTCGCCCTTTGTTCGGAATTCCAGCCGCCGCTCGTCTCAGCGCCCCGGTTGGATGGTACTACTCCGTAGTGTCACGAAAGGTCCCGGCCGCGTCCCCCTGTCCAACAAAGTGCCAATCTGCCAAGTCAATTGTCGGTCCGTGTCCAAGCTCTGGAACGCATTCATGTATTCGCTGTTGGTTGATATCCGCACCCAGAGGCAGACACTCTTACTGCGAAATCTCAGATAACTCAGCGGTAAAGCACGAGCCGCTGGTCTCGTCCTCCCCGTATTCCGGATTACGGGGAGCGCTCATGGCGCTGGTCACGCGAAACGGTAGATTGGCTATGAGTTGGTTACCAGAAACCGATTCGGAGCTTGTTACCTTTTCAACACGCCATTGGACTCGGTTACTGACTAGTAGAAGTTACATACATACTACTCCGGGCCTAGCTCGCCAGGTATTGATTGATTGATTGTTTGGGACTTCCGCCACAGGGGTCGTTGGTAGTAGCTCCGCTTGGCTTCAGGTCATCTTAACGCCGCGAACTTCGGCATACCGATTACTAACATCTTCCATACGGAAAACCCTTCGTCTATCAAGACGGAGGAGTAATACTGGCGATGTCGGAAACAGTCTCTTCTCGCATAGTCTCCTCAACTAGCTACCGAGTGGTACCTCGGTTGCGTTGCGAAGTGCATTGTCTTACCACATGCCGCGGCATCAAGCGATTTTATCTTCAGGATTCCTCTTGGTACGAGGAATGTCGCTGGGAACATAATTAACGCTCACATACCAGAATACTGCTGAGTCGATGATTGACCCTGCGCTACTGTGACTCGTGAATGGACCCTTGACTTATTCTTCTCGTCTGCGCACACGTGGCCGTCAATATGTGGCGGCAGGAAGCAAGCCAGCCCAAATCGTCCTCTAGTTACTGGGATATACCAATGTGCGACAACTTGGCCCTGCCGGTAAGAATGAGCACAGATTATCGTTGGGGCGCCTCACAGGCTATCCGCCGCCTCCTGGCCGTTGTTGAGGGTCATTTTTACTCCAAGTAACTTGCCCATTCCATTCCACTCAAATGCTGTACGGAGTAATCGTGCTTGAGATGTAGTTTCGGAGTGCATCATAACGAATATCTGGGTGTGATCTTCGCCTATTGTAAGACAAGCTGAGGACTATTATTGCGTGGCTAATTCTTAATTTCTTGACAAGTGTCAGCTGTATGTCCTGCGCGTACAATTGGACAAGACAGCTTGCTCTCTTTCAGATGAAAGCGAGACATGGAACTCGTGTGACGCGGTTTGTTCAAGTATGGCGGCTACATCTCGCCGAGTTTATAGGAAAAGCTGACTTGTCGCATCTTGTCTTAGTCTCTTCCAGGCACATGTAGAGGTATACCGCGTTTTGCTGGGGCCAAGAGTGGCTGGAGGCAGTGAGATGCTCGATATAGACGCCGCAATGAGTCCATCCCCTCCCCCCGGGTGCATAAAGAAATGAAAGGGTGATTTCCTCTGTTTTGGAGGATTCTGCTGTCCAGGCGGATGCTTCTCTGGGACCGAGGGCCTTTGCAGTCATGGTATGGGCTCTAATATGAGTCGGTCCAGTCAGCACTGGCTGGCGATGTGAGGCCTCGGCATCGGGAGTCTCCTTTGCAGTGTATCACAGAAACCTCGCCGTCGGCTGAGCAGGTGTCAGTACCATCCCGTCCCGTCACAGAGAGTGTCGTGGCAAAGCCAGCGCTTTGCGCTGCTCACGGGATCTAGGAAACGCCCCTGCTGCTTTCACTTGTTCTAGCTTCCAGGTCCCTTGGGTGTCGAGGCGAAGAGATCTCCGCACATTGACGTCTAGTGGACGCTGCAGCGATATCAAGTCCAGCTCGGCTCTATTCTGATAAATCCGTCCTCTGCCTGAACAGCTTGCCGATTGCTGTAACTGTCAGTCCCTTTCGAACGCGGCATCACCTTCATGTCCACCAGGTGCAGCTTTTTCAATGTGCGAGCATGTCGTGCCAGAAACGTTGCTAGCTTTTGCAATCCGATTTTCGGGCCCAAGTATTTGCAGTGCCTCCAGTTACGAAAATGTATATGCCTTCTAGAAAAGACGTACGAGAAGGAGCCCTGAGCCCAAAAGAGGTACTCCAACCACAACTATTCCACTCTCGTCTGACCAAGCATTGCGGCCAACTCTGCCTCGATGGGTGACTCTGGTTTTCCATCCCAAACCGGGCCAAGGCGCCGTGAGACCATCAAAGAATCGCATCTAGACGGAACCTCGGCGATTGTCAGATAATCGTCTGCACGGGAACGCTTTTCAAGTTGCGGCCCGCCGACAGGACAGAGCTGCCCGTTCGGTCCATGCATAGGAATCGGTCCCAGACCCAGCGCCACCAGTGCCGTCCTCGCCCTCCACAAGGCCTCGCATCACCCGCATCCTGTATTTCAAACACGGCCGCTCAAGCCATCCGAATCGACACATCTGCGGAGCGAACGACCTACACGCCTCACTATCCGCACGGAGAGATGGTCCACGTCGACGTGTTTCCCCCGAGGACGCGGCCAAATCCAGCCGGGCAAAGGCGAATGTGACGCAGTGATGTCGGGCGGGCGGCTCGCGGGACAGAGGCATCCGCAGTCTTCCACGTCGAGGTGACCAAGTAGGCGATGTGTAACGGCCAGCGTACACAATGGACTGACACGGTTCGCTCATCCCCAAGATCAACGCGACGCTCTAGCACAAACAAGAGCAATCTTGGTCAGCCCCAGTAATCACGGGTCACGATGACAAAGAAGCAGTCCCTCCCATCCGACGCCGCTCTCACGAGCTGCAGTCCGCGATGGGTGGGCGGGGCATACACCATACATACTTATGCAAAAGAAGAAGGTTCTCTCGTCACCACGAGTGATGATTGCACCCACCCGTCAGCCAACCCAGTTGGAGACCCACTTTCCTAGCCTCAAGTCCAAACCACCGCCCGCCTCAAAACCCTCATCAACGCTTCGGATGGATTCATCCGTCCAGTCCTCACGTCGTCCCAGAAATCAGAAATCGGCCCCCGCGCGCCATCGGACCCGACGCCTCGCCACAGGCCCCAATTCCGCTCCGGTCATTCGCATCCCCGCCTCCCGCTGACCGCCGCAAGACCATGTGTTGAAGCCTCTCCAGCACCCGAGCAAGTCGCCGTCGCGTTTCCGTTCCATCCCGCAACAATGCTCAAGTACGTCGTCGACCGCGCCGCCTCACAGACGGCTGCATCGTCCTCCGCAGCGTCAGCCAGCCGAAGCGGGACGAACTAACACTAACCCTGCCGCAGAGCATACAAGAACCTGTCGCCCAAGACGCGGGCCGGCGTGGGCATCGGCCTCATAGTCTGGAGCGTCGTCGGCCTCCATCTCTCCGACCGGGCCGAAGAAAAGTTTGGCTACACGCCATCGCAAAAGGATCAGGAGGAGCTGTGGAAGTGGGCCCCCAAGGTGACGGCTGTTGATAAGCCAAATGTTGGCAAGCAGCAATAAACAATCTTTCTCGACCAGAATGTCGTACATCTCGGAGTTGAATCAGGAGCCCAGCAGGCGACACTTCACTGCTCCAATCGGCGCGCCGACAAGTAGCTGACTACCGACACATCATCATCTTCCCCTTCATATGCGATTCAACATCTTCATCATGTATTTGGGAACAAACGTGTTAGGCAAGCACGGCAAAGACAGGCCCGTCAATCCACATTCATTGACACCCTCGTCGATGTTGCGCCAAAAATATCGTCACAATCCATATCATTGCGTCTTTCTGCCACACAAACGTATTGCAATAAGCAAAACAATCACGATTTTTCTACATCCGAACTGCCCTTCGTGCAACCTGCCACCATATACCAGCGCACAAACTACCGGACATAGCGCAGCGAAAACATCATTGATCAGTCCAGGCCATAAAAGTCGTCATAGCCCGCCGGAAAACCACAGAAGCCGACCGACCGCCCTTTCTATCTTGATCGAAGTCTAAGTAATGCAGTAACAACTCCCATACCTCAGTCTATCCTTGCAAAACGCGAGAAAAAAGCATGGGGAAAAAAAAAAGCCATGAGAAGATGCAGCTTGCAGAACCGCGTGCCGCCAGTGGTATTGGCGTCCAAAGGCAGGCGTACAACCATGTCCATGGAGGCCGACGCAAACCCAAACGTTCACGTCCCACTCAGATGCAAGACAACAAAAAATCCCACAAACGATAAACCATGAAATGAAGGGAGAGATAGGGGAGGAGAGAAACAACGGAATTCAACGCCTCCAAATGCAACCACCACCCTGAAATGCTTTTAGTTGAGTCATATCATACTGCCTCCAATGACAACCATGTGCCCAGGATTTAAGCTGTCGCCATTAAGCGGATCCAGGATTGTCCGACTCAGGGGACGGGTAAGGGTCGGAATATTCGTGCCAAGTTCAAAATGTATTCTTTTTCGCCGGGTGTCGTGGCTTCCTGTACGACGTCCGACTTCTCCGGGTCGGCTTGCTTTGCTGATAGGAACGCGCTGATACGCTTCAATGCTTTGTACGATGCCACATACTGGTCTTCATTTTCCGCCTCCAGACTGGCAAAACTAGGGTTCCGTAAGATATGCCGAGCTATTGACAGCAGGAGCGTGCCTTGGTGAGACACCGTGGTGCTGGTTTGGCGGGCTGCTTCCTGAACTGACAAATCATCATCCCAAATTTTCTGTAGCTTATCTAGCGCAGAAAAGAGCACGGCGAACGTGCCAGGATCCATGTCGTGGTGTACTTCATCGGATGCTGTGGAGTTTTTTGACTGAGATGACCCTTCGTATGGCACTATCCAGCCAAGAGAAGGAGGCACATCCCCAGTACGAGGGTAGTTCAGACTGCCAACCTTCTGCGAAAGCCGGATTGTAGCAATCATAATTGTTCCCAATACTGTCTTGCCGAGATGATTCGTACATCCAGACTTGATTTGCCAGCCACTATCGAGCAGAACCTGACGAGCCAAGCGCAACTCTGGCTGCGCAGCTCGACGATTCCCATGTGAGTTGACTTTCTGAGCCAACTCCTCTCCACTCAGGCCTAGAGCCGAGGCACAATCGGCGGCGCCAGAAGCGGTCCACGCTGCATCGTCACAAGGTAGAGGCAGATGAACCTCGGCCGGATCGAACTGGGCAGGGATGTTGAAGAAAAGTGCCAGGAAAGCATCTTGCGCAAAGATAGCATGCATGAGTCGAACGCGCCGCTCTTGTTCAGTCCAGGCTAGCCAGTCAAATTCATCAGCGTTCAAGTGATACAGATCATCATCAACTTGGGGATGATGAAGCGCAGAGTAAACCGACGGATCACCAGAGACGCCTAGCAAACCCAGACGACGAGCCTGCGCAGCGATCAAGGGGGAGATTTTTAGAGCTCGATGCCTCTGTTGCGACGTCCCGCTGCCAAAATGAAGCACACTAGTCAGTAGCACGGCTTGAAGCTCTTCAATAGAAGACTTGTTGACTTCCGCCAGGTCTGTATCGTGCAGGGTCTCCGGCGACAAAGTTCGACAGTCACGCTCCATGGCAGTCCACAGCGCGCGCATCATTTCCTGTACGTCTGAGAGCACAACCCGGTTTGAGTAACACGCGCCAATACAGCACATGCATGCCGCCAGTCCAGGATGTGCCTCCATCACTCGAAAGGTAGCGGGATGGAGTATAGGAACATGCTCGTGGAAGTGCGTGTACTGGTCGACGAAATCTTTAGTATTATCAGGTGAGAAGTAGAGGTTCATGCCCGTGAGGGTTGGGTCAATGGCCTCATTCGGAGGGTAAAGGAAGTTCAATATTTGGTTAGAGAGTTGAGAATAAGGGGTTTGAATATTCGTCGGTATGCCCCACATAGAGTAGCGGACGGGATCGCTGGAGCTGCAATCCGTCGCCCCCGAATCGTGATTAGGCCCGGTTTTGGGTGCGATCTGCGTCTGTCCACGATTAGGAGGATGAAAGATATTGTTGTTGAGGGATTGATGCGCACCAGCCTGGAACATCTGAGACCAATCGAGGCCAGATTGTTGGTTCCCGTTAGATCCACCATACATGGGCATTCCGTTCTGACCCGGGGGCATGCTGTAGCTAGGCATCTGCTGGTTGTTCATGGAGTTAGAGACATTAGCACCATAGGGCTGGGGGGCTCCCATGCTGGGGGCCATGTTATTCCGGTCCTGGTTGGCGCTGCTGGAACGAGACAGATGACTCTGGTCACCAGCCATGTTGTTCATACCGTCAGATACGGGAACCATGCCGAAGGGATGAACCATGCCATCAGCGGGCATGTTATTCAAACCATTGATGTGGTTCAAATCGCCCTCGGCGCCAAGGCCAGCAGCCTTCTGAGCCTGAGCATTCTTCTTAACGTGTGCCTGCGGGTGGGACAGGTGGCTGGCTCCTGTGGGGTTTCCACGGCGAATGGAGCACTTTTGGAAGTGGCGCTTCAAAATGTCACTTCGAGAAAACGTATCACGGCAAAGCACACACATGTACGGGCGATCGCCAGTATCTAGAGAACCAGAGTTAGCATGCGCGAAATGCGCAGAGGGAAAACAAAACGCGGCAAGGACATGGGAGAATGGAGCCGGCGGCATGTTGGAGGTGTCCGAGACGGGGTTCGACTTACGGCGAAGGAGGTGGCGCTTCAAATGCTTCGCGTGGAGGTATGTCTTGGTGCAATGAGGACAAGGGAACTTGCCATCCGCGTCTTTGACAGGAATAACGTTGCTCTTCGCACCAGTTCCAGCAGTTAGGGCGGTAGGACGGCCCGGCGCACTGGGCAGGATTCCACGGCGGCCCTGAGATCCGACAACATGAGTCGGCTGTTCTCCCTCGTGCATAACGGGATTGGGTTGCATAAGCGATCCCGGCCCGTAGGGAGAGGAGACACCAGGCTGGGCCATGATACCTCCAGGAGGCATAGGACGAAGAACTGGAGGTGCACGTCCAGCCGCGGGGGCCGGGGCGATGGGCTGCGGGTGAGACGCGGCTGTGGTAGTCTGAGGCATCATTGGCGCAGATGTGCCGTATCCCTGGTTAGGAGGATAAGGATTCTGGGCCATCGAGTAGACGCCAGGTCGCTGAGTAGGCTGCGACGTCTGCTGGTACGGAGGCACGTTCGTGGCCGAGTTGGGCGTGTTGGGCGTGCCAGGCGTACGCGGGGTATGCGGGTGAGAACCGTAGAGGGGCTGCATTGCCGCGGTTGGAGGCTGCAGAGGCGGCAAAGTCTGAGGAAGTGGTGATCCCGTCTGAAGTTGGTTCGGAGAGATCGCGGTAGGAGAAGGATATGTCTGTGCCGCTGAAGTCCCGTTTATACCATTAGTCGGATAGGGAGAACCGTCCATACTCCAGTGCAAGACGCGTGTCTAGACGTGGGTGGTGTTGTCGACACGTCGCTGTTGGCGTGAGGTTGAAGAAGGGGCCTGGTGATGGTTCGAGGTTGACGCAACAGCCGAAAGGACCTCAAGTGGAGAGAGATTCAAGAACAGAGATCCGAATCTAGATGGAGAAAGATCAAGGTGGGAGAAGACGCTGCGAGGCCCACGCGAAGATGGCAGTAGGCAAAACGGCGTCGTTCCGTTGAGGCGGATGAGGCTCGGGCTCGAGAAGCAAGTCCCTCTTCAGAGGTGTGGTATGTTTGGGGGAGGGTTCAGAGTGGAGATATGGGTCTTGAATCCTTTTTAATTTTTTTCCCCTTCTTCCCTGACCTGAGCTCTCTGGGAGACGAGGGCGCAAGAGAGAGAACTGCCAGGTACCGAAGCTGCGCGTGACAGAGGGTGAGGAGGATAGGTAAGCCGGAATGGTGGGAGGCGTGTAGCGATGTGGTCAAAGTGACTTGCGGACAAACAAAAAAAAAAAAAAAAAAAACCTAGTGGGCGTGTATGGAATAAAAAAAGATTTGCTAGCAACGTAGAGGTATTGACTGATTGATTCTGCCTGGTGTGTGGTGGACTGCGGCGGAACCGTTGCGATGCTTGTTCGATGGTGGCAAGTGGATCCTTTCAAGAACCGCAAGCAGATAAGGGTGGTGCTGGGTCCAGAAAAAAAAAAGACGAAGGCGTATTTTTTATCGGCTGCTGTTTGCGTGTCGCGCCAATATCCCGCAGGATCCGCGTTTGGAAATTCAGACGCGATGCGATTGCAATGGAGACAGGCGCGTTTTTACTTGCGCGACGATGAGTGCGCAAACGTGTTTGCCTTCAAGGGAGAGATGTAGGAGGAGAGTTTGGGAAAAGGGATTAAGAGGGAGGGAAAGAGAGGAAGAGGGCAGGCAGACGACAGCACAGCGACAAGTTGGCAAGGATGGACGGGGGACGTGAGCACCGCCAGCACGAGAGAGAGGGTGTGTGAGTAGAGAGTAGAGCGACCGGCGCCGACGCCAGGCCTCGGCGGAAACACCAGGGAGGCTTGTAACGGATACCAGCAGCGACAAGTCGCCCCTCGGTTACCGCGTTGGCAAAGCAAGTACTCCTCCTCACCTCACCTGCCTGCCCACGTACACGTACCGGATAGGTACCTGCCCGACTGTCAGGTATCTCGGCGTCTGGGTACGTGGAGAGGCACTTGGGTGCCGTGCCTGCCAAAGTACCCTGCTCACCAGGTACGGAGAACGTCGTCGGGTACCTGGCCCATGGGACTTGGGTGTGCCTCGACTTCTACGACACTGCAATACCGCGTATTGTCAAGTTCTCCAGTAGGATCCAAGCGCCATGTCTGGCAGGAACCAGGTCGACTGCCTTGGGTACTCAGACATTCCGAGCATTTCGACGTGTTGCGCTTCGGGTGCGTCGCCTCTTCCGGTGCAAATGTTGGCGAGGGACCAGGCAGGGCCTGTGGACAGTGAATACTGTCAGTCAGCACCCGAGGCGACGAGACATCATAGAGAAGCCATGTGAAGCCAGCTCAGTGCGCCTGCGGCAATCCGTAGCCATAATAGCGCGGAGTACTCCGTACTAGTAATGCCAAAAAGTACCTGCAACAGTACATGTACATGTCTGGTGCATGGTGTGTGTGCTCCGTACCAGACACATGCACGGTACATGGCCACGTACGCGAATTGGGCAACTTTGCTAGAATCAATGCTTCCTCCGTATTAGTGAACATTCCCCTTCCACAAGCAGGCATCTGGTCAAGTTCCAGCATTGTATAAAGCCCCTCGCTGTGATTTTTTTTCCCCTTTGCTTTCCCATGTTCCGCCCTCAACTCGCGCGCAAAGGCGCAAGCCGCCGGTGGGCTGAGATTGCCCTCATGACAAGCAGCAGCACGTCCCTGGCCACCAGGTGACCTGTGGATGACGACAGCTCCGACAATAAACTTTGTACAAGTTCGCCTCATCCTATATTCGACGGCTGACGCTCAACTTGTTTGTGCTACTTGATGATGACTACAAAAGCCGGCCACTCCAATCAGCTTTCACGCCGGGAAGCAGACGTAGGCTGAAGAAAGAAAGGAAGAAAGCTTCCTTCGCATCCATTCCGTCCCCATGCCATCTGGTCTGGCCCAACATCTCACTGTCGACTATTTCACATGATACATCATTAGTCTAAACCCTCACCTCGCGCTTGGCACCCTTTGGCCGGGTTCAACCTGTCCGAGACCTCCTGAGACCTCGCAGGTGCGTTTCCTCGCATTGGTCAATACGAGCCGTGCACCTCGAAGCCTCAGACTGTCAAAGCGGGCAGGCGATTGCGAGTACCTGGCAAGGACGGACGGAGTAAATGAGGCCTTACTCATGGTCACCAATCACGCGATGCGCATGAGTCGGAGGCCCTCTGTGCGCGTCTGCCACTGACGCGATGGCTCGACCGGCTCGACACATGCCAGGCTGAGCGGGCAGGCACTTACTTGTCCACCAAGGTAGGTACCTGCCCAGGCATGGCTACATCCAAATAGTTGCGTGTTTCTTTCACTTGGTCAAGTCATGTCAAACTCACTCACTCACTCCCTCCCTCCCTCCCTCACGCCCTCGTGGTACATGCGTGGCGTAGCGTCAACACGCAGCAAGCATGTACCTGCTCGACTCATTCAATGTTCGAAACGAGACTGTATAATACCAACACTAGCACGCATCATTCGTCCTTTTCCCCTCAATGCGTCCAGACCGGACATCATGACGGCCCCGGCGCCAAAACGAGGGACACATGGCAGTCTGTTGTTCTCTTTTACTACAGTTACCCTCTCCAAACCAGGCGCTACCGCTTCCAGCTCTGCCCAGCAATGAGCAAGTATGTATCGTACCGCAATAGCTGTAGCAGTCGTCAAGAATGTCACGCAAGTGGTGCATTAACAAGGATGTCGCGGTAATGCCGCCGACGCCTCAACCCTCGAGGATGGGAGGGGGTGTCGTGCTAATACAGGGAGGTGAATATCATCACTAGGACAAAACGCCAGGGCCATTGGTGACGGCTTGGTTTGGTCACAATTGGGGGTTGTTTTTTTTTTTAATTTTCTGAGGTTTTTTTTTTGGATAAACTATATACCTAGGCACGCATCATATCGACCAAGTAGTATGTACGTATGTTTCCATGTGACTATCAAAAATTTCACTCACCACCACACGACAACTCTGGCAAATACAGCTGGTACAGAGCAGCATATAAAATAAAATAATAAAAAAATAATAACAATAATAAAGAGAGAGAGAGAGAGAGAGAGTCATAAATAGATACTTCGTGCCGAGCATACTACATACATATTGTACATAACGTCAGTGCCAGGTGTACGACCAAAGCTTGCAACTGGATATTGCATGGCCTCTCCGCCACCCGGCTCGCCATGCAGCAGCAGGCCAGGGAAGGATGCTGCCCAAAGAACCCAAATCCATGCACGTTTGGTCTCTCGTGGGGCCTCAGTATCCATTTGCCCGACTTCGCCATCTATCCGTGGTTATTGTCCTACTCGGCGACCGAGCTTTTCTTCCTGACAAAGTTCCTTCTGGTTCAACATCGTCAGCTTCATCCTCGGCGTGCGTCGGAGGCGGCACTTCGTTCCGTGGGGCATTGCTTGATTGCCAAACTCGGATATTTACCAATAGTACATGTCTCAATGCGGTCTTGGCCCTTTTTTTTTATTTTCAATGTTATCGTTGTTATTACTGCTTCGCTTTTATGTTTTATTTTCATTTCCAAAGCCAACATCGAGGCTCAAGTGCACCGAGTGTTACATATATATTACATCAGATGTCAGATGCCAAATCCGTTGTGTCGAAATTGCTGCCAGTCTCGCGTCTCCTTTCGTGCTTTCGCCGGCAATCATATTCGGAACGACTATTTCCTGATGATGCTCGGTATACATACATACATACAACAGGCAACTATGGAAGCTGACCCCCCCCCCCCTCGCTCACTAGCAAGCAGTAGTTTCAGCTGAATCGTCCTACTAGCTCAGGTAGACCGCCCTCCAGCCTCTTTGATTTAGTCGGCAAACTCCCATTGGTTTGCCAAACATGCGCTAGTACACGACGACAAAGCCAGACCTGGAGTTAGCAGTCCATCATCATCGTTCCTGGACCATAGCGAAACTCTTGGTAGGATATTGCGTGCGCGTTGGGATACGGTAGCATTGATAATACTCCTGACTTGTTATATGTACTTCGTACAGAGAAGTACTAGCATGATGCATATGCAATCCAACGCCTCAAGCCATGTTGAAATGGCCCCTCTTCGGACCGTCGTGGGTTTTGGGCCTCCACCTGCGCATCCGGGAAGCCTGGCCGGTGCCATGAATGCCGAATGGACTGACCAACGTCGTATTATCTAGAAGGGTTCCATCCAGCAAACGACGACGCATGCAGTGCCGCAGAATTCCTAGTGGCCGGTCGCGCAATGGTGTGCGCAATCGTCGAGGCTTGTCCCGGTGGTACGGAGAAGGATACGAGTTCTTTCTTACTCTCCGGTTCGGAGTACTCCGAGGCTCGTACATGACTCTCTCTCTCTGTTAGGCGTTGCCTGGGCATGACGGGATGTGATGTACAAGACCGCGCCGAGGGTCAAGGAACAGATCCGACAAAGCGCACTCCTTGTTAGCTCCGGCCTCGCGCATCAGGTGATATACTTTTGCAGCAGCCACCAACGATATCCCTTGTTTGCGCCAACTCACCGCATCGTGAACGGTCTCGGCTTGACAGCAAGCCCCAACAACGGCACAAGCCAGGGGGTGCCAAATTCTGCTTGTCCTCGTGGCGGACATTGTGCCG